AACTAATTTTTCACTTTTTTTGCTCTTAGTCTTGTTCGTCTTATGCTGATATACTTCTTACCCGTGTTGTGTTTTTTTTTTCATTTCCTTTGTTGTCTTTTCTGCTGTTAAGTAGTAAAGTTATAAATGGTGTACCTGTAACTAGCTTTTGGTCATTCAATATCTTTTTCAGTATTCCCAAGCTGTTTTTAAGTCTGGCAGTTTGAGGTCTGTCAATATTTTGTTGTGAATGCTACCTTTGTAGTTTGGTAATAAAGCTTTAGTAAGCTGTGAATTGTGATCAATAGGTAAATACTTTGAAGCTGCATTCCATTCAACTAATGCCTTTGTAGGCTGTACCTAGCCTGTACTGTCACTGATCAGTGAATCTAGAGAATCTGGAGGTTTGGTGAGGTCAATGACCATCACCAGTTTTAGTTCCTGTTTCCTTTTGCATAAGAAATATATTCAAACTGTCACAAACTTGTACATTTTGTTGTCCTTTTTCTTCCTGCACTGTAGTGAATAAAAAATTGGAACTTGATTTTGTTTTAGAGTGCATTATTTCTAAAGCCAGCTGAAGCTGCATGCCAAGATATGTTGCCTGTCCATCCAGTGAGAAACAGAAAGCACTAGCTCCATGGCAGTGAGGGTCTGCAAGTCAGCAAGCCTCCAGCTGAAGACCCTGCATCCTTTCAGACGGTGGCACCATGCTGGACGAAGCCTCCTTCCTGGCACTGCAGGAGTGCGCGCTCCGATCGCGCTGGGACGAGCTCTGTGACGTGTTCCTGACACCGGAGCCGTCGGCGGCGCGGCGCATCGGCTTCCCGCGCTTTCTGCTGTCATGGCTACGCCCGGACGGTCCGTGGCCGGCCGGCGGCGGCGTCGTGCCGGTGGCCTGCTCGGCGCGCTACCTGAGCGCCGCCCAGCGGGTGCTGCGCGCCGCCGCCGACGACGCCGACCGGCTGGTGGTGGAGACCAGCGAGCGGCGCGCCGGCCGCTTCTCGCTGCGTCTGACCGAGGCGGGCATGGAGGCAGCCGTGGCAGCCTGTCTGCGCGCGCCGCCGCCGCTGCCGCCCTGTGCCGTGGTGTTCGCCGCCGGCCGGCGCGCGCTGCCGCTGCCTCCTCTGGCGCTGCTCTCGTTCTCGAGTCTGCCGCCGCCACAGCGGCTGTCGGACGGCGCGCTGCTGCTGCCCGCCGCGCCGCCAGAGGCCGTGCAGCGACTGGTGGCGCTCCTGCAGCGGCCCGCCGGCGGAGCGCGGCTGAACGCGACCCAGGCGGCGCCGCTGGTGGAGCTGTGCCGACGGCTCGGCGCCGGACGACTCGCCGCCCTGCTGCTGGCGGTGGAGGTACCCCTCACACCGGGCGCCGGGAGCGACTCGGTCCTGCCCCCGCCAGTGTTGTCGCCACTGCCGCCCGATCGGAGGCCGGCGCCATACAGCGAAACTGTACGGTGCCGGCGCGGCTGCGGGCTACCAGCCGAGGCTCTGCTTCTGCTACGGGCCGGTGTGGGTACCAGCGTGACCCTGTTGCCCGCCGGCGGAGTGCCGGTCAGCGCGCACAAGCTGGCACTCTGTATGTACTCGCCACTGGTCAGACGGACGTTCGAGACTCTAGCGGCCGCCGCTCTGGATCCGGGGGAAGTAGATGCTGGTGACGGTGCTGCCACGGCGGCCGACTGCGCGGACGATGCGTCGGTACGATCCCGGTCGCTCAGCGGGGATTCTGCGTCCGTGCGTCTCCCGGCTAGTCTCGCCAGTCCCGACCGGCTCGTGCTGCCGACGCTGAGCGCTGAGGATCTCCATGGTGTGTTGGACTACATTTACGGCGGGGAGACGCCGGCGGCTCCCTCTGCTGAGCAGTTCAGACGGCGGCTGTCCGCCTGGATCGACTTCAAGCTGCTCCCGATGGAAAAAACGGACGCAGACGGGTTGGGCGCGACCGAGACGCCGGCGCCGAAACCGAGGCGCGCTGGCCGACGGAGGACGATGACCGAGACTCAGTCGCCGACGGAGAGCTACGCACAGACACGGCTGCGGAAACGGCGTAATACGACGCCGGCCGAGTCGCCTCGGCCGCCGCCGCAGCCGCCGCTGCCTGCGGAGGTCGTCAGTGAGGTCTCGCCGGCAGGTCCAGAGGTTGTGGAGCACCCTCGCGAGCCGCCAGTGGACGCTGAGCTGATTGTGTATGTAAATCCAGGGAGCTTCCGCTCAGCGGTCACCGCTGATTCACCGGCCGTGGCGCTCGCGGTGGACCGGCCGATGGAGGGGAGGGAGCGCTCAGCGTCGGGAGCGCCACGTCTGGCGCCGCCGACTGATTCGAGTGTGTCTGATCGTGTAAATCAGCTCGACTCCAGCACTGAGGACCTGATGACTGGACTGGCTACCATCGCTCCCCTGGACGCCGACCTGACGATCACAGCCGTTCCTACGAGCCGACGTCCTCCGCTGCCGGTGCCCCCTCCGCCGCCGTTGGCAAGAGAGGACCCGGACGACCCCGACTACAAACCAGGCGTAAAGTCACCGATGGCGCTGCAGCGACCCCGGCGGCGCGGTCGGCCCCGGCGCTCGCTCGCTGCGGAGCTCGATGCGACACCTAGCCCCGTGGAGAAGACTGTCCCTACCGCAGTAGATAAATCCGCGCAGTCTGGGACTACCAGTGGCCTTCATGACTGCGAGCATTGTGGTAAAAGGCTGTGTAATGCCACTGCTCTAGCGGACCACGTGCGCACGCATACCGGCGAAAAGCCGTTTGTTTGTGAGGCGTGCGGTAAAGCGTTCTCCTCGCTGCCAGGTCTGCGTCACCACGAGCGGACGCACGGAGACTCGGAGAAAGACTGTGTGTGTGACGTCTGCGGCAAACTCTTTACCCGTCACGGCCTGTGGTCTCATCTCAAAACGCACAGCAAGCCGTTCCTGTGTGTCGTGTGCGGGCAGAGCTTCTCATCCAAACAGCACCTGAAGAACCACCAGGTGTCTCAGCACGAGCCGACGGCCGCCGAGCACGTGTGTCACGAGTGCGGCCGCGCGTTCACTCAGAGGGTGCACCTGGTGTCACATATGCGGCTGCACAACAGTGACCGACGCAAGTTCTGTGAGATTTGCCAGCGGACCTGGCCATCGGCGGCTTCCCTGCGCGACCATCAGGCGCTCAAACACGGTGACACCGGGACTATCAAGTGTGACCAGTGCGACAAGACGTTCCGCAAGCTGAGCTCCCTGCGCTACCACCGGCGGGTCCACACGGGGGAGCGGCCCTTTAAGTGCTCGTTCTGTGATAAGACCTTTAACCGGCCGGATAACCTACAGCTTCACATGCGCCGACACACGGGAGAGCGACCCCTGCACTGCTCACACTGCAGCAAGTCGTTCATCTCGAAAACGGCGCTCAACAAACACATGTCTATCTACCACCGGAAGGAAAGTGAAGACACGCCGTCGTCGGACCCTCAGGAGAAGCAGCAGCCGACTGCCGACGCTGCTGCCGAACAGACGGGAGCTCCTGCTCCTAAAGCGGTGTCGGCGCGGGGCCGGCGGCGGGTGGCGGTCCGACCGGTGTCTGCCGCTCCCGCCGCCGTCCCGTCCCAACCTCATCCCCCGCCACAGGAGCCGCCGCAGCACCAGCAGGCCGTCCAGGTGGAGACGCTGTCCGTGGACCTGCCGGTGTGTCTGCTGGAGGAGACGGCCACCGGCGAGCAGACCTTCACCGTGGACCTGCAGTCCAGCGAGCCGCAGTTCGTGTCGTACCTGACGTAGTGATGAGCCGTACCTGACGGGATAGTCTCGTACATCATACCATGTTCATATAGCAGCATGCCACTTATCGCATTACCGACCTAGCACCAAGACGAGGGATCGTAACAGCATATCCAGTGTAGCGCAGTACTGTGCCTCAGCCTGCATGACTGACGTATCCTATTCCTACTTCAACCCGACGTAACCCGACGCAGTAGTAAAGCAATCTTGGACGTAACAACCTATTCTGGTTCCCAACTCGCCTGATCTGCCCTGCGAACTTGCTAGATTAGTTTGTTTTCCATGACAGCCTTGGCTCGTAATGTGCAGCTGTGAAGCGGTGTTGTGAGTGTGAGTTACTCGACAGGCTGTGGTCACGTCTGATGTGGCCGGCGGCGGGCGGGTGTGTCCGCTCTTATCGCCGAGTATCCGCGGCTGTGTGCGTTGCGGAGCGCCGCTGGAGGCAGTGCGTCCTGTGGTGATGATATCAGTCGCTGATTGCGGCGGAGGGACACCGCAAACCGCTGCGCGCGCTGCGTCTAGTTGGATCTGAGCGCGGTGACTGCGAGCGTGCACTTGTCGGATGGAAATGTGAGTGCCCGTTCACTCTCGTCTTTCCGATGCTTGCCTTAAAGTGTTTGTTTCATGTAGCGATGCTTGAGATGCTCAAAATTGGCTGAAGGGCACGTTTACTTTCATCTGCTAGCTTTCTGTTCATTACATTTGCCTTGTGTCGTGTCGTTTTTTACATCATTTACCTACATGATTCACTCTTGTCGCTGTTGGCGCGTTGCTTGCTTTGACTTATGTATTAATTTCGTCCCAACCGTTGTTCTGAAAGTCTTGTTGCGTGCTTCCTTCATGTCAACTGGTCTTTAAGATCTGTTTTTGACACGCTATTATGGAACGTTTTCAATGCAATACAAACATTGATGTGCAAAGCTTTATTTGATAAAACTGCTCTTAGAATACCGCGGTAGAATTTTAACAACGAACAGTTGAACAATGTTTATCAGGGGCGGAAGTGAAGACATTTTTATCCAGGCCCAAGTCATACTCACTATTGCAACTGGTTATGGTTTTACACACTACACCTGCTGTCACAACCATTGGTTTTTACACTGTCCTCAGACCAGCGACTTAGCATGGCAATGACGAACACCATTCACATTATGACCAGTTATGAGGACGTTTCAGATGTATCGCAAAAGTTTATTGCATGCCAACCGCAGACTATTGGCAGTATTTGAATTTAACCAGCATTGACATGTTTTATCCCATTTTCAGACAAGATATTGAATACTTGCACGGTTCAATCTTGCGCCGGTGATCTGTTTTACCGTCGTGGACCTCAGCGCCACTGATTCCGCCCACCAAGTTTCCTGAGCTGCACATCTGCACCGAGGCCCACCCGTCCTACACCATGCCGGCCGTGAACCCAGAGATGGAGCTGGCTCGCCAGGAGGCGGCCGAACGGATCGCCAAGGGCCGCCTCGCCCAGCAGGAGGCCGCCGACAGTCTGATCCTCCAGTGCGAGGAGGCGGCGCTGCCTTGGCTCGAGCTGACGGCCGAGGTCCGCGAGCGTATCTGCCGCCAGGTGCAGCTCGCTCACAACGGCCGCTGTTACGACAACTTGGCCGACCTGCTCGGGGTGGACCCGGTGGACCGCCGCTTCTGCGCCGAACAGGTGGCCGGACACCTCAAGAGCTCCACCGAGCTGCTGCTGGAGGACTCCGCGCGCCGCCGCGCCGAGCCGCTGCCGGCCGCGCTGCTGCTGCGCTTCCTGCGCGAGCACAGCCTGCTGCGGGTGCTGGCGGACGTGGCTGGCGGCGTGCGCGAGGCGTGCGCGCGCCGCCGCCAGCAGGAGCTGCTCAGCCGCGCCTCGTGCTCGCCCATGGACAGCGGCTACCAGAGCAGCGACCATTGCGGCAGCGACATCGTCGGCGTGCTCTCCGAGCCGCCCGATGCCTCTCTGGTGAAGGCCATTCCCGTGCGCTCCGAGCCGCCGACCTCGCCGACCGCCTGGGAGGCCGACCTCAAGAAGCCGACACAAAACTCCAAGAAGCTGATGCTGACGTATGCGTACGATGGCCGCGAGACGGCGCTGGAGGTGGCCAAACAGCTGAAGGGGTTTGGTTTCCGGGTTATGATGCTCGAGGAGCAGAACCGCCACCGGTATCTCGACTCCTACTCGGCCGTCAAGAAGTGGTTCACGGGAGTCGACTACATCGTGCCCGTGCTGACCGCCGAGTATTTCGCGGCCACTCAGAATCTCTCCTCTGCCCGGGAGGAGCCAGCCCGCCGCCTGGCCGCCGACGCACGGTTCGTCTACACGCTGATGTGCGCCGAAATGGAGTCAAACATGCACGTCAACTATCGCGTGCGTGCCGTGATGCCGGACGGCGCCGCCGAGGGTCTGAGCGAGCACCCGCTCTTTGGCTCGCCGCTCTTCCGCTTTCCGTTCTCGGTGAGCGAGCTGGATATGCTGGCCGAGTGCCTGGAGGACTAGCCGGCGAGCTGGCGGCTAGTGCGAGGTGGGAACTTCGCGTCGTGTTTAGGGTAAGTACCTACATGATAGGTGTTCTATTTTGGTGGGTGATCGTTGTGGACGTGAGGTATGGCATGTGAGAGCTACAATGTGAAATAACGTATCGTTGATAAAATACGAGGTTCGGTAGTATACATAATTACTGATATTTTTACAACCAGCTGTGATTTAGGCAGTGCTGAAGCACTCTAAAATATGGATGATACTGTGCCAAATTAGCAGTCAAGCAATTAACAGTCGATGATTGTCAAATAGGGACGACGGAATTGGATGGTAACGGATGTTAGCTTGTCGGTGTATTTAAAGTCTCGTCTGACCTTTTGATTTATTGTTGATCATCACTCAACTGGCCGAACAGATCATCGTATCTGCCGGACGATATATTATTGATCATCACTTCTTTGACTAAACAAGTGATTGTACATATTTGAATTCTGATTTTCGCAGAGTTCCGGAACATCTTCCTTGACTTAGTCAATAGTCATCTTTTATACACAACTAGAGGGACAGCATTACGCGCAGCGTAAAGAGGGACAGCATTACACGCAGCGTAATAAGTCAATTTTCAATAAAATCGGCCCAGTAGCGGGCGAGTTATGGCCAGAATAAATTTGGCGTCTCCTCCTGGCCGGCGGTGCTCTGTTCCGGTATTCATTGCCAAAGGTCAGTGACCTTCCGGCTCTGATTTTGCTCAGTTTTCGCAGCGAACAATCTGAGCCTACGGCGCGTGCTCTCTGATCGGCGCCGGCCGCGGCCAAAATTCCGCAAAGATGCGCCTGCCACGTGCAAACTACCGAACCCACCCCCTCCAAAATTTAATACGACAAACAGATGCACGCGTCCGACTTACGTCGAAAATTTCACCCCCGTAGCCCGCACCGTTCCGGAGCAATGGCCCGCCAAGCGTGACTGACGCGTCACATACATACGTACATACATACATACATACATACGGACGTTTTGATTTTTATATATGGGACTAGAGGGACAGCATTACGCGCAGCGTAATAAATCAATTTTCATTAAAATCGGCCCAGTAGCGGCCGAGTTATTGCCAGAATAAATTTGGCGTCTCCTCCTGGCCGGCGGTGCTCTGTTCCGGTATTCATTGCCAAAGGTCAACGACCTCCGACTCTGTTTTCCCTCATTTTTGCAGCGAACAATCTGAGCCTAGGGCGCGTGCCGTCTGCTCGGCGCCGGCCGCGGCCAAAAATCCCGCAAAGATGCGCCCGCCACGTGCAAACCACCGAACCCACCCCCACCAAAATTGAATACGACAAACAGATGCACGCGTCCGACTTAAGTCCAAAATTTTACCCCCGTAGCCCGCACCGTTCCGGAGCAATAGCCCGCCAAGCGTGACTGACGCGTCACATACATACATACATACATACGGACATTTTGGTTTTTATATATGTAAACTAGAGGGACAGCATTACGCGCAGCGTAATAAACCAAGTTTCATTGCAATCGGCCCAGTAGCGGCTGAGTTATTGCCAGAATAAATGTGGCGACTCCTCTTGGCCGGCGGTGCCCTGTTCCGGTATTCATTGCCAAAGGTCATTGACCCGACGACTCTGATTTCGCACAGCTTTGCAAGCGAAGAAACTGAGCCTAAGGCGCGTGCCGTCTGCCCGGCGCCGGCCGCGGCCAAAATTCCGCAAAGATGCGCCCGCCACGTGCAAACCGCCGAGCGCACCTCTTCCAAAATTTAATACAACAAACAGATGCACGCGTCCGACTTATGTCGAAAATTTCACCCCCGTAGCCCGCACCGTTCCGGAGCAATAGCCCGCCAAGCGTGACTGACGCGTTTCATACAGACATTTTGATTTTTATATATGTAATCACAAAGGTCGCTACAGATCATTTACAGACCGTTTACTTTAGTCTGTGACGATAAAGGGAAGTTTGTAATGCGTGAATAAAATAGCAATATGATACAGTTAACTGTACAGTAAGGCACATCTGATAAAAAACAATCTCATATTGTTTTCGATCATTTGCTTTTGATTGCTAGTTGTGCTCAGTGTACGTCATATGGTTTACTGGTGCCGGCCTTGCTGGTCCGGTCGGTTTCGCTGTCGTGTCATGTCATCTAATATGTTTACTGTGTTACGCGTCACGTGACGTTTCTCGTGCATGGCGTGACGTCGTGTTTGTGACTCGTGGTGGCATGACGTCACTGTATGCGTGACGCGCTGTACTGGTGTTTCCCGTGATGTCCACGCTCTATGTCGTATTGTCTTGTGGACCATTTTAATGCTGCATCAAAGCGCTTTATACCAGTACTTACTTGACACATTTTTTTATTATCTTTCCGGACGTGCACTTTTTTATCGGAAAATTGTGTTGAATGATGTATGGAATGGTTTGAAAGTAAGTTTTTGGCTTCTGCCGTGAATCTTAGCTACCGCAAAAAGAAAATGTAGGAAGCGTGCCATTGCAGATATGACTGAAGAGCATAATACGAGAACATGTTCATCAGCTTGAACATTGAGGTACTGGTACCAAAAATATGTCGCTCTTTTCTGCGATTAATGCATGGTTAAGGTCGGTATCGCCATTGGTCGATACCAGCAGAAGCATAATTATGTGTGGCTCGTGCTGTGGATTCTGAGCATTTGCGTGGTATTTGTGGATTGTTCAATCGGTGTTTATGTCGATGGCATATGGCAATGTTGAGAGTTTACTCGTTACTTATGTCCAAAATTTTAATATACAACCCACCAGGGCATTGTTTTATTCATAAACAGCACAATTAGGCTAACGAAGAAGTTGGATGTCCAACGGTGTACCTATCAAAACTAGATCACATGAATATAGCATGCGTGCATTTATTGACTTTCATGCATACACCATTTCATAACAAAGGAACTTAACAATGCAACAGGAACTGCTATGAACGTAACAAAACCAAGCGAACGCAAACCATATCCAAAGGCACATCGTTACCAAACAGAAAGAACCATTGCTCTCCCCTGGCAGATAGATCTTCACATAAATACCATCCGATATTTGTGCAAGATATTTTACACAAAGGAAATTAAGTACTGACTTGTTCTGAGTAAATTAATCTATATAATTTACCCCACAAATTCAGATTGTCGATGAATATCTCGTTCTTTGTAATGTAAACTACAACATAACATAGCCGACGCGAACAACAATAAACGCGTGAAAAACAAAAGTTTTTTTCAGCCAATACACATTTTGTTTAGTGTTGTAATAGCCTAAACCGCGTTCGGAGAGGGAGGGAAGTTTTTAATCTTTATAGTGAGCGGTGATGGCACACCACGACCCGACTCGACTCCGGTTCAGGGGTCAGGTCTGCCTGTGGGAACCGCGCCGCAAATGACCCATTGACTGGAGCCCCGTACCGGTAGTGGCACGGCTGGCCCGTGTCGCGGTCGATTTTCACATTGCAACATCAGGGAACTCACTATTGGCCAGAGCCCGGTTACATTTAGCGAGGGGAGGCTGCTGCCTGCTTCCTGGTTATCTTCGGCAATCTGCAGAACACATAATTCATTTAAAATCGACATTCACGTTATGAATGTCGGTAACAAAGTTTGCCATTGTTAGGCTTGATAAGTGTACTGACGCTGAGGCTCCGGCTGCTGGAAGTCGGGCCTCACCGGCGACTCCGTCTGATACCCTGACTACTGGAGCGGATTCGGGGGCCGGTATCTCAACTGCCCTCGGTTCTGTGCTTGATAGCCAGCCGCTTCCGGGGCCCCCGGCTGGTATCCGGACCGCTGTTCCTGAGGCTGATAGCTCGTGTTGGCCTGATAGGTTTGCTGCAGCGGCGTTTCTGACTGGTAATCTCCAGACTGTTTGAGACCCTGGGTCTGATAGTCCAACTGGTTTTGGGCCTCGGACGGGGAGCGCGATTGAGGCTGAAGATCGGGGCGATAGCCGCTCTGCTCCTGGCCTCGGGGCTGGTAATCATCTAGCTCCTGAGTCTCAGACTGGTAGTTGGTCAGCTCGTTGCTTTGAGGTTGGTAACCATTCTGGGACTGAGGCTGGTAGCCGTTTTGTTCCCGTCCCTGGAGTTGGTTGCCGTTCCGTCCTTGATCGGGAGTCCGGTAACCAGTCTCGCCTTGACTCACATATTCCTGATATCCAGCCTCCGCCTGAAGCCCGAACTGCTGGTTACCCGTCGGCTGCCTCCTCCCATCAGACTCCCGGTAGCCAGCGACCACCTCCCTCACTCTGCCTGTCTCCCGCTGTCTGTACTGGCTACTCTCTCCGCCTCCGCGAGGGTACTGCGCCTGCCCCTCGTACCGCACATCAGCCACGAAGCCGCTCTGGCCGTCCACGCGGTAGTTGACCGTCTGTGTGCGCGTGTCCGGCAGCAGGACGTAGTAGGAGCCCTCGGTGAGGTCCCCGCTGCGCGCCTCGCGGTGGCCAAAGTCGGCCCCGTCGGCGTTCTTGACGCCCCACTGGAACTCGTAGCGGGCGGGGTCCTGAGGGCGGAAACAGAGCACGGGTGCAGGTGAAGTGTTAATGCCTTTGATCATCGCCACTGAACTAGATTAGCTGAATATGATAGCTTCATTCAGCATGTCAGTTTTACTGGGTTGTATAATTTCTGTATTAGATTTATAAGCTTCATGTTATTTGAGTGCTTTGAACTCATTCTCACCTGCATGTAAGCAGCCGGATTGTAGGCCTCTGGTTGCTGTTCAATGAGCTGTTGTTGCTGATCCCGGTATTGCGGCTGCTGGGTTATGGATTCTAGTCCATTACCTCTGAGCTCCTGCTGCTGATTCCTGAACTCCTGCTGCTGGTTCCTGTACTGCGTCGGCTGATCTATGAATCCCAGCTGATTATCTCTGAGCTCCTGCTGCTGATTTCTAAACTGAGGCTGCTGGTCCCTGAGCCCTCCCTGTTGATTTCTATATTCCGGTTGCTGGTTTCTGAGCTGCTGGTTGCCGCCGTCATACACGAGGTTCCTCTGGATCTGGGCAGCACGGGCCGCTCCAGACAGGGTCTCGAGGGCGGTGCGGTAGCCCGCCTGAGGCCGGTCGCTGGGCCGCTGCTCCTGCTGAGGGCTCGCGATGGGACGCTCCAGTTGCAGAGAGCCGGGTCCGGGCACCGGGCTGGGAGAGACGGTGGGACGGGGGAGGGTGGTGGGTGGAGCTGCAGCTCCTTGAACGTAGTTGGGGCGAGGGTCAGGAGGAGCAGCGTAGTTCTGCGCTGGTTCGAGGGCAGAGATGGTGTTGGAATTGATCCCGGCGTCAGGGGCGAGATTTGGCCGAGGAATGGGGATCGGAATAGAAGTGGGGCCTTGTCCATTATAGTTTGACTGGATGTTAGGGGCAGGAGCACCTTGAAGCTTCACCACACGCCCAGGACTTGAAGCCGAGTTGTAGCTCTGCTGCGAGCCAGCGGTGGGCGCGTAGGTAGACGGCTGCTGATCAAACCGCCCCTGTCGTCCGCTAGCTGAGCCGAAATCACCTGCCGTTCTGGCCAGGGCAGCGAGACCGATCAACGACTCGGGAGCGCCTCTGAACACTCCTCTCACCTCATTCTGGAGATTGGAACTCCCGACACCACCGAATCTCTTCGACCCCCGGGAGTTAGCTCTCCGCTGCGGGAGTACCGTCGGGGGCACGCTCGCCTGGCTCGTGCCGGGACGGGGGGTCGAGTACCGCTGCTGCTCCTGCTCGGAGGGGACTCCTCCGTAGGCCCGGCTGGGCACCGCAGTGGGACCGGACGGCGAGCGGGCACCGAATGGAGCCGCGACCAACTCCTGCTCGGTGTAACCACGCTGGCGCTTGGCGCGGCTGATCGCGGGCAGTGCGAATACTGCCGGCAGCAGCAGGCAGGCCCAAATGAGAATCACGGCGCTCTGAAAGAGAAGGACGGGAAGATAATAGGGTGCGGTCTGCCGTCGGTGCGGTCTCTACATACGGAATATCAATATTGCAATATTATGCCTTACGTATTTATCCGCGCTAGTGTAACAAACTGCAGGTAATCAGATATGAAATACGCGTATCGTTATTCTACTATTGATGTGTGTTTTGTTCATTTAAAGTGCACAAAGTTGACGTCGGTGAAAATACCGCAATTAAATCATAGGAAGTCATTGCTATCGAATGCTGAGGCTTGAGGCATCTGCGGCTGCCGGGCCGATTAGCCGACTCCACTGTACGCTCGTCGCTTACCTTCCACATGGCGCTCCTAGTCACACTCCGAAACACTGACTCCGAGTCACTGACTACACCTCCTGCGACGCCGCACAACTATATACCGTCGCTGCACTCGTCACTTTCAATCTACCCTGTGCACCGTCTGATGGGCCACCGGTCACCGGAAATGGGGTCGCCCAGGTCACCGCCAGGTCACCGGGGTCGGCTGCAGCGCATCCCGCCCCGCCCGACTGGTGGGTCTCAGCCTTCCGTGTGACTTCCGAGCGAGCTGGGAACGCGGCACGGTCTTCCGGGTGTTGTCACCGGCTATTCAGCAGCGGAGGGCGAGCGGAATAGTGACAGCCCTGCATGTGTGACCCAGTGACGTATTCCGTAGTTGACCCGGCTCTTGTTTTATATGTGACCCGCCTCTTGTTCTTTCTGTGACCGAGAGTGTGTTCCCTTCGTGACCCAGGGCGTGTCTCGGCTGAGACCCAGGATGTGAAGGGCTGCACCCCGGTGGTGACAGCGGTGTCGCCGTCTCCGCGTCGTGACGACGTCCAAAATGTCATATATTGTTTTAACATGGTTTTGTAATTTCCGCTTCGGGTGCATGCCGTTCATCCGCAGTCGGTTTCATTCTGAAACGGGCTAGGGATACCTATCAGAAAATATATACGCATAATTATTTTTTATCATATCTACCACCTACATACCAAATACATGTAACTATTAGGAAACATTAACGGTTGAAATTCCCCAAAGGTTCAAAGTATGCAAACAAAATGACTTACTTGAAAACACATTTCCTGAATCCTGACAAGACGGCAATGTTGTTTTGTAGGGTTAGGCCCTTTCGGCCTGACAAAACCTTTCCAGAGCCGAAAGGATGAAGGGAAATTGCAGAGTGGTATGTGTTATCTCTCATCTGTATGGTAATGCCAACCTATCTCTGTTTAAGATATGAGCCCGGAACATTCGTGACTGTACCGTTGTCTTTCGATAATACAAGTCAAGAGCTCACGAATGTCGTATTGATCATGTTCCGGGCTCATATCCCCTTTGTCATTGCACGATGTGAAATTGTTTTTATTAAATTCACTAAATAGAGACTTATTTGTTCACTGCTGTGCTTTGTGAGTTAGTTGATCAGAAATAAGGGAGACATTGGTCAGGGTGCGCCGCCCCGGTTCGTTGCCGGGACTGAGGCCAACTAGCCATGGACAGGCCAAAGATGGACAGGCCAAAACCAAGGGAATATGCTGCTAAAGTGCTTAGGTACCTACCTGTTGAATGAAATTCCTCTATTACATCGGCGTTCAAAAAACGCTGGTTTTATCATTGTAAGGTACCTTTATTGGAAACTAGTGGAAAATCATTAACGAAATACGCTGCCTTCACCTAAATCCCCTTTATTCCCCGCTGGCCGGTATTCATTGGCATAACGCATTGCGGCACAGCATGTTTCAGGCGCCAGAAGCTGAAGCCACCTATCGGCCGTAATGAGAACTACACCCGGTCTTGCGGCACAGCGTATTTCAGGCGCTGAAAGCTAGCGACATCTGTCGGCAGTAATGAGAGCTACCGCTTGTCTTGCGGCACAGCATATTTCAGGCGCTATAAGCTAGCGTCATCTATCGGTGGTAAAGGGAACTACCGTTTGTCTTGCGGCACAGCATGGTTCAGGCGCGCGAACTCGGTGCCACTTACTGGCAGTAATGAGTACTACCACTTGTCTTGCGGCACAGCATGGTTCAGGCGCACGAATTTGGTGCTACCCATTGACAGTAATAAGAATTACTACTTGTCATGCGGCACAGCATGGTTCAGGCGCGAGAAGTCGAATTCGTCTGTTTATTGGCTGTAATAATAACTCACTACGACTGTAGGACAAAGTGTGTTAATGAAGCATACCTACGACATAAAGAAAGCATACCTCGCCCGCACATGCCATTTTCCCATCCTAGAACGCACATGGGGGGGGGGGTTACCACCACCCCGCGCCATTTCGTTCCTGTTGGAGATAGAGCTTCGCGGTAAAGACCAAAAAGATTCTTTGGGAAGAGACGAATCCAATGATACCCAGTTTTACCTTCTCAGGTCAGTCATTGAGCTTCCAGATCAGGTCAAACTAAAAAATGTTGCTGCTTTGGGTCACCGTTGGATATCAAGTGCGCTGCTTATCATATACCGATGACGATGCCGTTTTCTGGTGCCAAGCCAGCTAGAACCTCTTTGTCACACTATCCGACCAGATTTTTGCTGCTGAGGTCATTTCAGGTCAAGTTAGGTCAAGGTCAATGATATGTGTTTGTATGTCTGTGTGTGTCTGTGTGTATACTGATGTGTGCACCGAGTGCTTATGTGTCCATATTACATGAAATCATGATCTGAGAAGCTTTTACCAAAAATGCAGTAAAAAAACGCAATTATTTTAGATGAACTAGGTTGACCTTGACCGGTGACCCTGATCTTGACATGTGCACATCGCCGAACAACATGTTCCATGGTAGGTGGGAGGTAAGACTGGCAAAAAAGGCCGAAATCAAGGTGTCAAAAGCTCACAAGGCCCATAGCCAACGCAAGATGTTGAGAATTGGTCATTTGGGTCATGACATGACCTGAAAAACGAGGTCATATCTCCGAAACCAAAAACCACAGAAACCTCAAATTTTCAGTGGACATCAAGAAAGGATAGAGGAGCAGCTATACGAAAAATCAAGCTTCTAGCTCTAAAAATGTGCAGTGCAGAGCAGAAAGACTACCTGGGGAGGGGGTGTCAACCACCCCCCCCCCCCCATGTGCGGGCGAGGGTTAATGGCGATCAATCAACCGAAACTATTTCGTTAAGATTTTCGTATTTCTAGTCGATTCACATGGACAGTGAACTGCATGAAATACCATGCGCATGTTTAACGCTTTTTATTGATAAACACATTGGATACATGTAACATGAAATATTTGATTTAACACAATCGTTTATCACGAAAACACATAGTTCAGTACCATCGTCGATTGCGATAAAATGTCGCAACTCGCACTATACCTAAGAAATAACAAAAATGGCATGGTAACAGCTCAAAACCATGTTCAAGACTTAGCACAAACTATTTACGCATAAATAAAGCGAACCATTTGCCTAAGCTACACGCATTCAGCGCAATATGCGCATCCGTGGCAATATGTATATATGCATATGAAGGCGATCTCGATAATCATTTTCATGTACCTAAAATATGCTTATAATGTTTACTCGTAGTTCGCAATAGTCTAGCAGCAGCTCTAACTACAACAGTGATTCACTTTTCTGCATGGCGTGCAGCAGCCGCGTCAGTTTCCGCCTCGCCACCGTCACCATATCCACTCGCGCCTTCTGAGTCGGCTGAAACCCACAGCCGAGCGCGTCGCCCTCATCGGACCACGCTCCGGCCCACTCGGCACACGACTCTCCCTGCAGCTCGCCGCTCAGCTCAGCTCCCGACTCAGCAGCACCAGCTCCTGAGAACAGGCTGCGTCCCTGAGGTGCTCCCAGCTGACCTCCCTCCGTCACAGCAGAGCTGCTCTCCGCCGTCCCGTTCCAGTCTCCGAACAGCTTCACTCCCTCGGGCACTGCGCTCTCTGCCTCTGCCTCTACCCCTCCATCTCCTCCCGCCCTCTTCAGCACATCAATAAACTGCACAACAGGCCCGGTGGGGTCATACAGCTGGCCGCTGCGCCGGTGCGGGTACAGCACGTGCTGCTCCACGAACTGCTCCGGCTCCAGGCCCAGAGCGATCGCCCGCCACCGGGCCCGCACCAGGTCGGCCGCCTTCTCCGCGATCATGATGGTCGGTGCGTTGGTGTTTCCGGAGATGATGCGGGGCATTACTGAGGCGTCCACCACTCGTAGGCCGCTGACGCCGTATACTCTGCCGAAACGGAGAAGAGGGGGATGTGACGTGGCGCGGTGACGGGGGAGAGGGAAGAAGTGAGATCATGATACAATTATCCCACAAGCTGCACCTTACCAAAACTGAGTGATGGTGTAGTGATACCACTCATAGAACACTGACACAGTATGTATACCCCTCCCTGCATGTGTTGGAAGGAAGATTGACCACTGACCGGTAAGGCGAGTGCCGCAGTGACATTTATAGAACCTGCATCACGCGATAGCATCTGAGTTTCATGAAGAAAACAAGCTACATAATAACACGGAACAAAAATGATAGACGAACGCGTTTCGGCTAAATCGTCGTCATCAGCGTCTAAAAGGAGAACATGAGGCACACATCGAGCTTTTTTTTGCTCGATGTGTGCCTCTTGTTCTCTTTTTAGACGCCGATGACGGGAATTTAGCCGAAACGCGTTCGTCTATCATTTTTGTTCCGTGTTATTATATGTACTTGTCTCAACTGAAATAAAACAAGCGACATACCGCAAACGTCTCACAACGACAGACATTTTATGATTTTTACTGTTTTTCAGTAGCACCGTGACCCGACTTGCACGCTCTCAGGCCGCTCTCACCTGAGCTGGTTATCTACCACCGACCAGGGGTCGTACGCCGGGCCCATTGCGCACGTGCTCGTGTCGTGGTAGATGGTCTCGGAGAAGACGCGCGCCTGACACTCCCACCAGGGCCCGCTGCGGGCGCCCAGAGCGCCGCAGAACTTACTGGGCACCAGACTCGGACGGGCCCCGACATGGCGGAACGGCGCTGACAGAGCCACCTGCAGGGCGAGGCCAGTGACATGGGTGGGGTCAGTTGGCAACAGGACGAAAAGACGGATTGAGGTAAACCGGACAGACAGACGGACAAACGGTCAGCTTACAGATCGACAAGTATGTAAACGATCAATTAACCACATTGTTGTCAGACAGATAACTTAGCGAGATGCAGGTCATTGATATATTTCCGTGCCAATTAATATGTGATATTGTGCAACGAACTACGAAGAATGGGTCGCAACTCGCAGATGTGCTACTTTAGATGCTAAACAACCGCTTCCTCTTCAGTGAAAATATATCAACCATTCTCAGCTTTAATTGAAGTCATATGATGGCTCAAGACGTTGTTAGACGTCCGCGGATTACCGAGCAGACCTACTCTCTGCTCATTAAATCGGCGTCACCCACCTTTTCGGCCATCAGGCCGGCCTCTCGCAGCACGGCCACGTCCCAGGGGTCGTCGAACAGGCGCAGCTGAATGGCCGGGTCCTGGAACGGGTTCCGCGAGCGCAGCAGCACCCGGCCCCGGCTGCGCGGACGCAGGTTGATTGGCACGATCCGGAAACCCGACCGGAACTTGTTGGGCGAGAATTGGCTCCACAACTGGACAGAGAAGGTGGGAAATGGGAATCGGTGGTTAGGTGTGCACATGATCTTCTGCACATGATTGAATGAATTTTAATGAGATTTAAAAGGATAAGTGGCATAAGATAGTTTATATAAATAAAAAGTGTACTAATTGAACACGATTTCTAAGTTCGGAACGTTAATGAAGTGCAATGCCTCTTCGGTTTTCAGATGTTCGATATAAACTAAATTAACTTTGAAGGTAATGATTTCTATTTCCTGTTGTTGATACTCACTACTCCGACAGCTGGGATTTTCCACTCAGCTCGTATTCAAACGACAGTCACTTGCGTTACCATGCCCGTCATGGAACGACATTCGAAGTGTCAATAACCAGTCTGAATGACCGATCTATTTCGAACTCACCTTGTTGGACAGGCTGAGGAAGTCTCTGAATATGATGCCGCCGTCTGAGGCCAGCTGAAGTGGGTAGAAGAGGAGCTGCACGTCCGGCCAGTCAACTCCGTAGCTAACGTTATTCAGCGGCGAGCTCAGGAAGGCCGTGCCCTCAATACCCAAGTTCGTTGCCAATGGACCTGTAAATTAAAGGGATATCGTAATTAAAAGGAACACAATGCAATCATTAAAGCTTAAATGCATTGTTAAACATTCTGTTGAATGTAATGCCAGTTCATTGCATTACTTTATATTGACTTCATATTTCACCCTAGCACCGATTATCATTCAATCCATCGTAACTAACAAATGCCAGGTATTCCTTATTGAAACTCTATGTCGTCTTCATAAGGACCATACCCTTTCGTTTGAAGAGGTAGTTGAAGATATTGACAGGGTTAATGAGCTGCAGCAGCGTGAGGCCGCGGCCCTTATTGGTGAGATATTCGGCACCTCCCACTCCGAAATGACTCTGCATGTTCTCACCGACCCCGGGCAGGTCGTGAATGCAGGGAATCTGCCGAAGAAAAATGTCACTCTATGGCGTGTGATAAGCGTAATGGCTTAGAGGGTAGGTACAAGTTAGACGTGTGTTGTGGAACTGCCTACGGTGCAAATCTGCTTGTTTTTCATTCAAGTTAGGAGCTAGTGCATCGTGAATATTACACGGTGAAGTCCGACCTGGACGCGCCACTGCGATGGCGGTCACTGAATGGTCACGCACCCCTGACCGCCGATCCGCCATGTGGCATCCTGTGGTGACATCGGATTCAACCCGAGGCCTGTGGAAAGTCTCGCTAGGTTTGAACAATGCAGAGAGATCACGTAGCACGCAGCTAGCGATGATAAAAGCTCGGATATGCTCTCTGTCCATGCGATGTCGGTATTGTTTGTGTGACATCCGTTATGGGCTGTGAGTGCCTGTGACAATCACCACTAATACATTATTATTAGGTCTTAGATATTTAGTATGATAGGCATCGACTGAAGACCACAACTAACCTTAAACTTCTTCAGCTCGTGGCACGGCCCGACTCCGGACAGTTTCAACAGCTGGGGCGTCTTGAAGGCGCCGGCGCTCAGGATCACCTCCTTCCTCGCCCACACCACGTAGCGCTTGCCGCCCTTGAAGAAGACCACTCCTTTGGCGCGCCTGGTCACCTGGTCGACGATGACCCGTGTGGCTGGAGCGCGCACCAGGATGTCGAGGTTGTGCCGCTGAGAGGCGCCCCGCAGGTAGCCACGCGCCGTGGACCACCGCTCACCGTTCTTAGAGGTGGTCTGGTGGTGCATGAACCCTGCGGGAATGCAGAAATGACGAGTTACAAGGGCGAATGGAATGCACGCGTCTACTTATAATAAACTTTACCATAGATAACATGAATCATGTTATCTATGACTTTACTTAACAAGCACAAAGTTCCTAGGGATGATCATTTATCACGGCCGCACCATTTTAAATTTTGATAAGTCGATAAGTGTATCTGTAATTGTTGAAAAAAAACTAATCGAGCTAACACAGTAAATGTAAGGGGCAAAGCTGTCCGGCGCGCCCTAAAGCCCCAATTAACAAACAAACGAAAGCTTTGTTCAGCCCTAACGCTTTGATATCTTATGCGTCGGCATAACTGATGCATAATATCCAAAGCGCTGGCCTTCTTCGCCATGTCAAGCGTTGAACAAGGTGATTCATTTTATTTTACTACTCAGAACTCTGCGCTCGTCAGCCGCAATAGCAACTCCCGCGCGCCGGAAGCCACACTCGTGTTATAAAAGGTTTGGCTCGGGGAGGGAAGGGAATTGCTCAACTCAGCATTCAATTATGAAAACAAGTACCGCAATGTCAAAGGATAATGATTATCATAAACGTATTTACATCGCATCACTACAAAGTTCCCTACCATAGTTAGATATCGGCCGAATGTAATACGCACTAAACATTGCTGAGCGTTTTTCCGGAGCTATGCAAGCTCATGCCACATGCATGAAGGCCCGTTTCTGCATCTCAAGTGTATGTAACCTCCGCGCACACTCGATGTCAATGACCTCGCACAGTCACAGGTCACAGGGGACCACACTTCAACGTGTCCCGTCACTGACCAGACCAGTAGACCACTAACGGAGGACGGTCACCACTCATGGATACTGAGTCCAGAGAACGGAACCGGGTCCTCCAAAAGAAGAGCTCACCACTCTGGGTATAAGGCCCGCTAACAGGTAACAGGTCACCACTCACGGGTCTGCAGTGCGCCGTTGACATCTCCGACCGGGTACCCGAGCGATAGCCCAGCCTTGAGCCAGATTCGGCCGAGGTCCGAGATGTACTGTGGAGGCGACACCGCCAGCGGGCCGCCCACAGCGTGAAATGCTGCGAAGCGGATGGAGAGGGGGTGTTACTTACATAGTTACCGTGCGCAAGTGAGCCAGTAATCGCCATGCCATGTGTACATAGATCGGTCGTTATCGTTAAAATATGCACACATACAGTGCGATTTAGTTCACAGGCTCACTGCAGATGTGAATGGAAATTGGAATGCCGTTCAAAGGGGTGAACTATGCATATTTTTCACGCTTACATATGTATATTGACACGAGATAGAAAATTGGTGTCACGTTGTGGGCGAAATTTAACACCGATACACGCGTATGATGTACAAATATAAGAGCTTGGATGGAGAAGATGTGAATACAAGGAGTGTAGAAAGTTGACTGGTTCAGTAACTTTTTGAGTTAAATCATTCCAATTTCCACAAAAATATATACTAGGCTCATGCAAAAACTAAAGGATCCCAAAACGTAAACATACCAAAGACATTATCTAAAAAAAATCCTGTTGCGAGGCCTAGTTCTCATGAACTGCCTTGATGGCGACACAATCTGCATCAAGGACACACATTAGATAACATAAAAGAATGAGAAATATGCGACTCATGACACACTTTAACGCCTAACTAGTCATCCAATCTAACGTCCTATCGCGACAACATGTAGTCAGGCCGGATGTACGATTTCACAGGATGGCTGCACCGGTGTTGTGGTTACTGCGAAACGGAAATATGTGAAAATACGTGAAAACTGAAAGGACTACCGCTGATTGAACATATTTGAAAGTAGCCAAACCTTTCACATTTAACAACCAGTAGCTATGTCATCTTGTGTCAACAGTTGTTATCGGTAAATATCAAACCTGTTTGTTTAGAGTCTGTCCTTATTTTTGGTGTCCCAGCAGTCCTACGTTTCACCATTGTTGCTTGATCTGTAATCAACGATTTCTCTCGTGTGGAAAGTTATGTTTAACACATTCAGATACAAAGGAAATAAATATTTCAAATATTATGTCAGTTGTTAAGATATTATTATTTCATGATGGAAACAATTTCAGATAGGTACCATAGGTAATAGCCCACAACGTTCTGAAGAATAAAACGTCACTCTGGATGCTGCAGTTATCCAACAGGCAGACTATACGACCCCCTCGTCTGTCACTCACGTGAGTTCCTCAGCCTGGGATCCTGATTGTCCTCCGCCTTCAGGAAGTAGGGCAGCACGTCCTCGTACCCCCAGCCGGGGTTACCCAGCCGCTCCCACTGGTCATAGTCCTGCCGGTTGCCTCGGATATACATTAAACCGTTGACTGCCGACGAACCGCCCAGCATCTTGCCACGGGGCAGCACACAGACCTGAGTGGTGTAAATCAGGGTCAGAGCGCTGAGTGACAGGATGGTCAGCATCAAATGGGTCCCAGCTGATTGGGAAAAATATCCACGAAATGATGCGTAAATCACCATCAGTATGGCTGTGAATGATATACTGTACCGCAATGCAGCTGCGATCTGTAGACTGCGCCGCACTACACACAAAAGTATTCTAACGAACTATGACGAACACATATCGGGACTCAGTCAATGTGTAAGCCAGAGAACTCACGCCTCCTTTGAAGCCCTGACAGGACCGGTGGTCGGGCGTGGCCCTGAAGCCCCAGTCGTATCCCTCTGTGCCGTAGACGAGGGCGGTGAGCAGGGGAACCTCTGTGAAGACGGTGCCGTCCTCTCCGGCCTCCAGGAGAAGAACTGAGTGGTGAGGGTCCTCCGAGAGACGACTGGCCATCACCGCACCGGCTGAGCCGGCGCCCACTGGGAGAGGGAGGGAGAGGGAGAGAGAGGGAGAGAGAGAGAGAGAGAGAGAGAGAGAGAGAGAGAGAGAGAGAGAGAGAGAGAGAGAGAGAGGGAGAGAGAGACGTCAGATGTGCCGGAGAAGGCGACCGGATTCGATACCAGTGACGGCAGATTCCAATTCATTAAAGTCGCAAACAGAAATGCTTAAACTCACTAATTCCACCAAGCAGCCCTGTTCGCATGCCAACCAATTAGCCTTTTATCTTATTATCTCGAGAAGGGAACAGGAGTAGGTATTCGAAGCTCAATCAATACACCTCATGTACGCCTCACACATGCCTTCTCATTCATTGCCTTACCGACGATAAAGTCATATTCCTGTCTGATGGGCTTGTCGTAGACGATTTTATGCGGGTTGTCCAGCGGAGCGATCAGCGCCAGAGTAGTGAGGCTCACCCCCAGTATTCGGAGCCGGGAGATCAGTTCCAGCACCTTCACACCCATCGCAGTCGAACCTGCATTGACAGGTGTAACTTGTTGACGCTTCCTCGTTATGCAACATACGCAAAGTGGCGTTGCATGTAAGTGCTGTTTAGTGCAATACATTTCAAGTACGGGACGCTACCACTTCACTAATCGTGCATGTATGAACACACAGTTAGAAACGGTTGGATCAAGAAATATCTTCGGCAAGACTCGTGCCTAGTGGGATCAACGAACACGAACCCAAACCACTTATGCATGTTCTATGCATTTTCTAAGTACCTGCTTTTGAATAAGCAGTTTTTAACGGGTTATTTTAACGTCCCTGTTGAGTAAGTTAATGCAACCAGCAGCATGACGCGCAACATTCCATCTCGTGTGCTTTCTGACGGTGTGTTATATAATCAACACCCGACAAACCAGCTTCTGGTATTGAGATAAGCACAATAAAAACACTTCGCACCCTGAGGGCACCTTTGGCTTTTCATATTTTAGGAAAATCGCTTAGTCATTTACGTTATTACTTTATAACCGGAAGAATTTAATATATCATTCAACGCATTTCTCATGATCATTGCGACTCTATCACGAACCGAATGTATTGTCATTGTTCATGGATACTGACGTATTCATACTCACATGCACATCTATAACTAACTATGACACAAAAAAATAACTTACCAAATCAAGCGCTCCGTAGCAATGGGGTACTGGGTTAATCCAATTCGTCAGAACGCACATACGCAGATGAACACACTATCAGCTCCCAAACTCTCCTCAGTACGCACAACTGCACTCACTCCTACCAACCACACTCCTCTCAGTGCGCCATTCTCACCGCTCTCACACGGGCCTCTCACACCGCCCCCGGTCCTCTCACCCGACCTCTCCGCGCCGCTCGCGGTCGGGACTGAACTGCCGCGGTCGCCGCGCGCCGCCTCACAGGGTCCCGTCCCGGCCACAGACCCCGCGGCTGTCGCGTGCACACTGCACACCTTTCCCCACCGGTGGCCGCCTCTGTGCGCTGGTTACCAATGCACGCGGGCTGCCAGCACCGGCGGCAGATATAACACTATACGGCCGGATGGAAGTGTTGCGTAACACACGCCCCACTTTGTTTTTAACGTAATCCGAGAGAGTGGGTCACCGCGTGGCTGGATCTCCGGTTCTGCAGAACGACATTCTTGTCCTGTGCTGGCGAGAAATTGTAATGACAACAAAACATGATGCTGATTTCCTCAGCCTAAATATGAGTGATGAAGGCTTCGATATTGCGGGAAAAGTGGCAGAAGCAAACCAATGAGTGCGTGCAATGACGTTTATTCTAATACGCTGTCTCTGGAATGCGTAAATATGCGAATTCCTGAGTTATTCTACAGCAAAACAGAGCGCTTTAAATGCTTGTGAGTCCTGCAAATAACCACGAGGCTATGCATATAACTCAAAACATACGTTTTCCGGTGCACACACATACACTTTTCCCTAAATGCTACACACCTTCTACCTACGAACGCTAGTCCCAGGAGGCCACCAGCTGACACAAAGCGCGTCGTTCTTTCCGTGCGTGTTTGTGACACGACCCAGACACACTTTCACCCGGCCGGCTGCGCACACACGCCGCGATGGCCCCGCTCGGTCCCAAACTTACCCGTCACGGGACTCTGAGCGCGGCCACGTAACGCCCAAGGTCGGAGTTTCACGGTCGAGGACGAGGGAAGTGAAAGGCTCCGAGCAGCGGAGGTCTGATCTTATGGAAAAAAGGGTTCAATGGACGGAGATGAGGCGTTGTAACAGATGAGTGTTTTCATCAGTCACAGTCAGCTCAGTGGTCGGTGCTCGAACTAGTGAAGACAGCGTCTGATTGCTAAGCTTATCTATCCATGGTTTGTTGTGCGTCGGGTCAGTAGGGAAACCCGATTCAGGTCGGCTCGGCGGTCGTTATTTTGTAATTGTGCTGATTGGGTGAGCCTGTATTCATAGCAGTGGTCATGTTCCCGGAATAATGAACCCGGCGATTGTTGTGTTGTTATGTGTGATACGAGCATTGCGAAACGTTCGACTCTTAATCCTTACGTCGGATTGTTTCTGACTCCTGAAGTTCGCCTATTAGAAACATTTACATTGAATTAATAAGGGGGAATATTTGTTTCTGGTCCCTAAAAAGCTGTTTCTGGCACCTAATTGCTGATCAGCCCCAAAATGCTTATTCGACCCTAATATCTGAATCTGGCACCTAATTGCTTCCACACAGCCTAAAGTTGCAGATCGTCTAGTTGAACTCCTTATTTGCTGTTTGCTGATTCAGCACCAAAACCAAAACATCCAGCACCTATTTTATTCCACGTTTGCCTACCTAATTCGCGTAATCTTCCTGATTTTATGTATCCTAACAACATGAACGTTGCATTCGGTGATGTCAAGTGCCATTTTCGCCAGTGGAGATAATGATTAATGCCATTTCTAGCCAAAAGAGAATCACTAGCCAGCTATGGTGCAGCATAGCAAGACGCTCCTATACCAGCCCGCTATGTAGAGACTAGAGATTATTGCACCCTCAGCCATTTTAACGTGAAAAGTTTGGATCCGTCACTTCCAGCCAGGCTCTCAGGTCATAAACTGGAGTAAAGCAAAATGTCAACTCTGAACAGACATGCCACGCAACCGGCCCTCTTTTCAATATTATTAGCTTTCTGCAATCATCGTCTGACTCCATCTCGATCAAACGCAGCATCCGGTTTCTACAGGGGCGTTTGACTGACCGGCCACACAATAACCAAAAACAAAATCAAAGCTTCATGCACACATATGACATAAGTAAGAAACGGATGAAAAAGGCACAACCACGGCACAACTCTGCGCGGCAAACAACGGACAATGTCCCACGCAAGATCCCGCGTTTCTTCAGCGGCCTTGAACGGAATGAAAACATTACATTTCTTTTTGGAGCTATTTGATGACGTCAAAAAATACAATACCCGTTTTAATGGTCAAAATCGAGACAATTACTCACAAAAATGTTTCCCTTTAAGCATTACAAATAAATACTTTTAAATATTTAAATGACATTGTTTTTTTTCAAACAAATCAATATTATTTGCTTACTTAAACGTCATATACAATGCTGAGATCACTACGGGGCTGTCTTAGAGTGTAGCTGCACTGGAAACCTTTAGGCTAGACTCCAGGGGTCATTATACCAGAACAACATGATTCTACCAGCCAGTAGTTCATTTTTCTACTAGATTGGTGCTACGCTCAGCATTTAGGTGCCAGATTCAGAAAAAAGAGTAAGACGTACCGATGAATAGGTGCCAGAAACAGCTAATTAAGGTCATTTTCCATGATTGGTGCTGGTATCCACCAAATAGGTGCTGAGGACCAATTTTGGGGCGAGTCAGCTTTTAGGTGCCAGAAATAGCTTTTCTGGGACGCAATTAAATGGCGTCCATTAATAAGTCAGTGCAAGACAAAAAATATAGAAATCAAATCGCATACTTCAGAGCGGCGTGCAATAGTTACATACTCGCAAGCATATGCGACTAGACAGACAGCGTTTACAATTGATTTCTCCTATTGAGGTGCAATGTCCATGGCACGATGTGCAATGAACAGATCTTTAGAATTAGAAGTCTCTGAATTCTACGTCACCATCTCAGCTGATTTAGGGCTCAGCTTCTGCTAAGACGTATCCGAAGTTGCTCCTAGGGCTCCAGAAATACTATCCAAGGACTCCAACTGACGATTTCCCATGCATTTCCCGGGGCTGCCAAATCCATTGTCCCACAAACTGAACGGGACCCTTGGCCTTCATGTCGCCAGTTTCAACCTGATGCTTATCGTGACGCTCGTGTGTTGCCTTATTAATCACAGCTTCAGCAATATTCGACACAGTGTGGACGTGTGGTATTGGAATTTGCATCTCGCTTGTGTGCTCGGGTGGCCGGCCGCGAGCTGGCGGCGCCTCGGCTCGCCGGGCGGCCGGCCTGCCCTGGGGCGGTGCGGGCCGCTCGGCGGGTCGGGCGGCGGGCGGCGCGGGGAGTCGGTTGCGGGGCTCGGTGGAAGGTGGACGGTGAATACAGGCGTGGAACGGCTACATGTTTTGACGGTGAATGAAGACGGCGAACGGCTACATATTTTGGGGGCTCGTCTAAAAGCCTAGCAAGTTCACATGAAGTACGTGCCTGTGATTCCACCGCGCTGTGATTCCACGCTGTGATTCCAAGCTGTGATTCCGCGCTGTGATTCCACGCTGTGATTCGGTGTTGAGATTCAGCGTTGTGAGTCTGCGTTGCGAGTCTGGGCTGGAGTCGCTGCGTCTCGAGTCGAGAGTCGGTGTCCAGCAAGCCAGCAAGTTGACGCCTAGCAAGCCAGCAAGTCGGCGCCCAGCACTCGCGCTCACGTACTGAGCTCTACATTATCCGCGCCACGTTGGGTCTGCGCCGCACCGCTCCACGTCGAGCCTGCTCCGCGCCGCGCCACGTTTGGCCGCGCCGCGCCACGTTTGGCCGCGCCGCGCCGCGCCTCTCGTCGTCGAGCCTGCTCCGCGCCGCGCCACGTTTGGCCGCGCCGCGCCACGTTTGGCCGCGCCGCGCCACGTTTGGCCGCGCCGCGCCACGTTTGGCCGCGCCGCGCCTCTCGTCGTCGAGGCTGAGCCTGCGCCGCGCCGCGCCACGTTTGGCCGCGCCGCGCCTCTCCACGTCGAGCCTGCGCCGCGCCGCGCCACGCCACATTTGGCCGCGCCGCGCCACTCCACGTCAAGCCTGCGCCGCGCCGCGCCACGTTGGCCGCGCCGCGCCACGTTGGTCGCGCCGCGCCTCTCCACGTCGAGGCTACACCGCTCCGCGCCACGTTTGGCCGCGCCGCGCCTCTCCACGTCGAGCTTGCGCCGCGCCGTGCCACGTTTGGCCGCGCCGCGCCTCTCCACGTCGAGCCTGCGCCGCGCCGCGCCACGTTAGGTCTGCGCCGCGCCACGCCACATTTGGCCGCGCCGCGCCTCTCCACGTCGAGCCTGCGCCGCGCCGCGCCACTCCACATCAAGCCTGCGCCGCACCGCGCCACGTTTGGCCGTGCCGTGCCGCTCCACGCTGAGCCTGCGCCGCGCCGCGTCCAGTCTGCACCAGAACGCGCCGCTTACGTCGGGCCTGTGCCGCGCTCTGCCGCTCCGCGGGCTCGCCAGTCGCCACCATGTCGGACGCCGAAAATGACAGCAATCGCGCGGAGGAACTTCATGAGCTGAGGGAACAGCTGGCGACTGCTCTTCAGCGCATCACTGAGCAACAGCAGTCCATACGTGACCTGAGCCGGCGCCTGGAGCTGTCGCTAACATCAGCGGCAGCGGCGCCCGGTACGGCCGGGGTGCCTGTTCCCGAGTCTGCGGACAACCGGGGAACCCCGGCTCCGGCTGCATCATCCGGTGCTGCAGCCGACGGACTAACAGGTCAGCCTCTAACACTGTGTATGCCCGTGTGTCCGGATGAGAATGTGCCTCAGTTCACGCCGAATCGCTCCCAGACTCGGTTCGTGCCGCCCAATACCGACTCTGTACCATCGACTCGCTTTGTTGTACAGCAGGTTCATGAGCTGGCCAGTTTTTCTTTGGGTGGCAGGCAGTCCCTCGCTCACTATCTCGATCGATTTGAAGAGCACTGTGAGAATGTGTACGCAGGAAGTCTTGACCAGGCTCTGCCGTTGCTGAAATCCAAGCTTTCAGGACAGATTCTTGATGTCTTTGTGGCCTGCGGGGACGTCTTCAACCCCTACCAGACGGTGAAACGTCGGATGCTCGACTGGATGAAGCGGCAGGAGCTCTCTGGTAACTGCTCGGCACGCGATCGTTTTCGGTCGTGTAGGAGGAACCAGGGTGAGTCACTGGCACTGTTCGCGCTCAGAGTGGCCTCTGTGTATAACGATGCGTATCCCGATCAGGACATACAAACGTCTCAGGAGTTGCGTCAGCACTTGCTTGACAACCTGCCGCATCGTGCTGCTGACTACCTACGCCGACAGATTCACTATACACGCGAGATTCATGGCATAACCCTGACGTGGCAAAACCTGCTGTCCCTGTTGGAGCGTGAGAGGCTGGATGAGGAAGTGGTGTCTAACGCCGATCCATCTCTCTTCTATACAGCCGAGCAAGCGAACAGGAGCCGTTAATCACGGTCACAGCAGAGGAGGATGGTGTCTCCAGCCGCAGCCGCCCGGCGCCGGAGACATACGACGAGCAGCGAGGAACAACAGCGCGTCCAACAACCTCATCAACGAGAGCATTCCTCGTCTAACTCTTCAGCGACTGGCGATCGACGCCCACTGCTTCGCTGCTTCTTCTGCGGCCGCTTTGGACATGTTGAGCGTGAGTGTCGTCGGAAACAGGATCTCTGTTTTTCTTGTGGCCGCCCTGGGCATTATATGCGCGATTGTAACGTGCCCCGTTCGCGTCAGAGATCGCAGAGTGCCCCTCGCTCCCGTCATAGATCTCCAGTGGAGAATCAGAGAGCGAGTTCAGGCCCGAGTCAGCAAGTGCCATCTCCGGACCCCCCTGGGGGGAGAAGGTCAGGGTATGGTCGAGGGACCCGAAGACGGCGCAGAAATGGGTCAGAGAGACACAGGGATGGTTCCCGTTCAACTGGTTCACGTGTTCGTGATGATCGTTCGCCTTCTCCGGGAAACTAGCGGGTCCCACGTCTCCATCAGGGCAGGACGTGGTGACCGACTCGAGCCCTGTCTCCACCGAGTCTGTTGTGTCTGGCCGTTCATCAGGAGCACCTGTGTCGACCGGCTCAGAGCTGGATTCGGTGTTTGCGTCCGCTCTTGAGCCGGAGCACCTCCTTCGTTCCCGTGCCATAGTTTCAGGGCGATCAGCTGATGTCATCATTGACTCCGGCTCCTCACGGACTCTCGTCGCCAGTCATGTTGTATCTGATGGTGTCTTGCTTGCCAGAAGTGCTGCTCGGGTGCGTGCCATTGGGGGTTGTGTCGTTGAGCCACTGGGAATTGCGACAGTCGACCTGAATCTGCATGGAGTGCACCTGGAGCTGACCGACTGTCTGGTGTTGTCTGACGCGGAGTCGCCCACAGATGTCATTGTTGGCCGTGACACGCTGGAGCGGCTGGGCTTGTGTGTGGACGTCGCCCGAAGATCGGTTTCTGGACGCAATTCTGATGGTTCCCATTGGACGGTTTACATGCCATTGAACCTCCAGCAGCCTGAGTGTATGATTTTTGTTGCTGACATTCCTTGCCGAGCAGCAGAAGATGTTGATATCGCCCCAGGGTGCTCAGTTGCTGTGCCCTACACCGTTCCCGAGCAGCCGCGCTGTTCAGAGTGTACGATCAGCCAGCGTCATCTTCTGTTTGAAGCACAGCCTGGTCTTGATGTCAGTCTTGTTCCTGGACTGGCGTGTGACAGTCAGCCCCGAGTTCTCGCCTGCAACCGTGGTCGGATGGCTGTCCGTATTCGCCGTGGTGAGGTTGTGGGTTACCTTGCTACTGCTGCAGACGCCAGCAAGGACTTGGAGCAGCCATGTGACGTGTTCTCAGTGAGTGAAGAGGAGAGCTGTGACGTGACGCTGTCATCAACAGAGGTTCCGGGACTGACGGTGTCGCAGCGCGCTGCTGTAGACGATCTATTTCAGCGTCACGCAGCAGTATTCAGCAGTTCTGCTTCTGATCCACTGCGCACGTCCCTGACTGCACACAGGATCGTCTTGAAGGACGACACGCCGGTTTACGTACCGCCCAGGAGGATGTCGCCGCCAGCAGCAGAGGAAATCGAGCGCCAGTGCCTGGATCTGGAGCGTCTGGGCATCATAGAGAGATGCGACTCTGCGTGGTCGGCGCCCGTTGTGCCAGTACGAAAGAAGGACGGATCTCTACGGCTATGTATTGACTACCGTCGACTCAACAAGCAGACGGTGGCCACCCGCTTCCCGATGGCCGACGTCACGGACTCAGTGTACAGCGCCCACGGCATGAAGTTCTTCACCACGCTGGACCTGGCCAAGGGCTACTACCAAGTGCCCTTGGAGGAGTCATCAAAGGACTACACCGCCTTCTCGACAGCACGGCAGCACTGGAGGTTCCGCAGGTTACCGTTCGGCTTGAAGAATGCTCCAGCAGCATTCCAGCGAGAGATGCAGACGGTGCTGCAGGGGTTCTCCAGGCGAAACCTCGTCATCTACTTGGACGACCTGCTCCTGATGGAGAAGAACTTTGAGAAGCATCTTCAGCTCGTGGACGACGTGCTCCTGGCACTCGAGTCGCAGGGCATCAAGCTGAATGCCAAGAAGTGTGTCTGGTTCCAGCCAGAAGTACCCTTCCTCGGCCACGTCATCAGTGAGCGAGGTCTGCGTAGATCACCAGAATACATCAAGAAGGTGCGCAGTCTGCCACGCCCTCAGACCGTGAAGCAGCTCCGACAGTTCCTGGGGGTGATCAACTTCCAGAGGAAGTTCGTGCGCCACTGTTCCAGCATCAGCAAGCCCCTGACGGACCTGACAGGCCAGCCAGGCCCCACAGTCATTACGTGGACGGACCAGATGACTGACGCCTTCGAGAAACTGAAGCAGGTAATGGAGGAGGAAGTCACGCTGGCCTTCCCCGACTACACAGAGGACGCGCAGCCTCTCACTCTTTGGACAGACGCGTCTCAGGTTGGGGCGGGGGCCTGTCTGACTCAGGAACAAGACGGAGAAACTCGTCACATCGGGTTTGCCTCAATGACCTTCTCTCGCTCACAGCAGAATTACTCAGTCACCGAACTGGAACTCGCAGCTCTCCGTTGGGGTGTCGTCAAGGCCTTCAAGCCATTCCTCGGTGGCGTGTCATTTAGAGTCTGCACGGATCACCAGGCACTGGTGTACATGCACAGCATGCATCTTGTCAACAGTCGGATCGCCAGGACGATGGAGGAGCTCTCGGAGTTCGACTTCACGATCTGCTATGTGCCAGGGTCATCCAACATCGCCGCAGATATGTTCTCTCGTGCTCACCCACTGCCGACGGAGCTCCCGGCTGTCTGTCGCCAGTTGCCAGTTGGTCTGGATCTGTACTACAGAGCTGAGGGAGGAGGTGATGCACTGATCGACTGCCTGTGCCACTGGATGGAGGAGAATGACCGCCGGCCTGCACAGAACCACCTGCTCCGAGAACTGCTGGTGGGCGAAGTGATGAAAGCACCGGGCAGGTTCAAGATGAAGTTGGATCGACGCGCACGACAAACACTCAAAAGCATGAAGGTCCCAGGTCAGCCGTTGTCTGTTGAGATGGTGGCGGTGTTCGCTACTCTGATGAGGGTACGGGTCATCGTCCACTTCGGTGGCCATCATCCCATGATCTTCACCGGTCCAGACGGGGAGGAAGTGGCTGGTCAAGCTCTTCATCTCCAGTGTCTGGGAGGAGTCCACTTCAACTTGCTGAAGGAGAACAAGAACTTCCAGACACAGAACACCGTCCTCGTGGCTCACATCCAAGAACAGGTGAGATCACAAATGATGTGTAGAGTCAAACTGCCAGAACGTGTCACAATGTGTGCGACTGAAGAGGGTGGTTCGCCTGAGGACGGTCTGCTTGTACACCCTCTCTGTGATCATCAGTCCAGCGCTTCATGCGCTGCGACCGTATACGTGAATGACAGACCAGTCTGTGCCCTTCTCGACAGCGGAGCAGCTGTGTCCATGGTCAGCCGCGCAGCGTTGGAGCTGATCGGCACCAGGGAGGCGGATGTGATTCCCAGCGCTGTATCAGTTCGAGGCATCGGAGGACTCACCAACTGCACCGGCTATCTCGAAGCAGACGTGGCCTTACCTGGGGACGGGGACCCACAAACGGTACGTCTGCTGATTGATTCAGATAACTCGTTCGGCCACTGTGTGTTGCTGGGTGCAAACTTCCTTACGTCTGCTTGTGTCGAGTTGGATTTTGGAAGGCGGCTGATAAGCAGTGTTTATGGGGAGCACGCCATGAGCGGTCACTGTGCTTTCAAGAACACTGCAACCGGTCTGACTCTGGTGACGTCCTCGCAGGAATGCAGTGACGCTGAAGACGTTCTTCTGCCTGACAGCCGAGAGCGAATCCCAGACATCGCCTCTGTCCGAGAACACCAACACCAGGATCGTCTTCTTCATGAGCTCACTAGCCATGTTCGGCAGAAGCTGACAGAACAAGAATTGCCCAGAGAACTGGAACATTTCGGTAAGCATCTCAATGATCTGTTTGTCAGCAATGACTTGTTGATGTACCGTCACAGCAAGTATGGGGACCTACCTGTCATTTCCAAGCTCTGGCTGGCGGAACTTGTAACCGCAGCTCACCAGGGGATGGCTCACATTGGCAGGGACAAGTTGTTCGATCTGATCGCCAGCCAGGTGTTCTGTCCAGGATTGAACAAGGTTGTAGCCGATGTTGCCCGAAGTTGCCGTCAATGTCAGCTGTATAAATCGTCCCCTCAGAGGATCGCTGCACCTGTTCAGCGCCTTCAGAGTCGAGCACCTTTTGAGCTGGCTGCTGCTGATCTTGTGATGTTCCCTCGCACCCCACGTGGCTTCATTGGATGTCTTGTGGTTGTAGATCACTTCTCCAAGTGGGCGGTGGCGGTACCAGTAAGGAGGAAGACGTCTGCTGCGGTTGCAGTCGCCCTGGAACAGCGAGTCCTGCCAGTTCTTCTGCGCAGGCCTGCGCGACTTCTGACGGACAATGGTGGCGAGTTCGTGGGTCCGGAGCTTCAAGAGGTGCTGAGGAGGTGGGGGATCCAGCAGACATTCTCTACACCCTACAGACCGCAGGGCAACGGAGCTGTCGAGCGGCTGAACCGCACCCTGAGTCAGGAGCTTCGCATGTTGTCTGCCGACAAGCCTGGAGACTGGGACCTACATCTTCCGAAGGCCATGGCGACCTACAACGGGACCAGCCACTCTCAGCTTGGTGACTCTCCAGCAGATTTTCTGCTGAAGCAGAAGCACGGTGGCGTCAGCGTTCCGCTGGTATCGGTGGAGCGACAGAGCTGCTGGCGGCCTGGAAACCCGAGCTTCGCGCCATTCGAAGTGGGCCAGCTGGTTAAGCGGGAAACGCAGCGACCTGGTAACCTGCTGACTGGCAAGTTCGAGCAGCGATTCGACGGTCCCTTCAAGGTGAAGTCTCGGAACAGCAATGACGTCACCTACACTCTGGAGAGGGACACCGGAGCCGAGCTGAGGGCGCATCACACGCAGCTTCGCCCGTGGATAACTGCACCGTCCTACCTGCGCCGGCTCGAGGAGGTGCGAGAAGATGGAGAGGGCAGAGGCTGCAGCATGCACCCTCCTCTACCGGCCGGTGGGGTGCTGACTTCTGTTGGCTCAGCGGGCGAGCGGCGTCTTCCAGGCATCTTGAAGAACACTCGTCGGGCCCAGGATCGGTCCCAGCAAACGACGCCTCCTCGTGTGAGCAGCAGTGCCCAACAGACGACGCCTCCTCCTCGTGTGAGCAGCAGTGCCCAACAGACGACGCCTCCTCCCAAGAACGACGGCGCTCAGCTGGCTGTCTCCCGCCCACCGGCTAGCGCTCCTCAACAGAGGACTCGCGCGACCTCAGCGGCTAAGCGGACTGTGAGGTTTGATGACGTGGGCCGGGAGATACCCAGGCGGTCGGGCCGTGTCAGAGAAGCGCCAGATAGGTGGGGCTATAGTTAGAATGTCGTGTGTGATTCTTCTTGTTTTTGTTTTGTTGTTTTTCTTGTGCTGCCGGCAGTAGCCGACCCAGCTGATCCAGCTGCTGCTGCCTCCCTCTGACGTGCTCTTCGACTGGTTGTCGAGCACGCGCCTGTTGGTTTCTCCGCGTGCGCGGTGGACGTGACGCGTCACCCCACCGTATAATCGATGAAGCAGACGACCGCCTTCATCGTCACGGTGGCCGAGCTCGTCCTCAAGTTGTGTTGTGTTTTGGTATATGGCATAGGCGTTTTGTATCAGCGTGAGCGTAATGACGTGTTGGAAGAGGTTATGTGAATTGGCGCTGTTATACTGTTATAACGGTGATTCTTGTGTTTTGGTCATAGCGGTGATCCTTGTGTTTTGATGTGGGCGAGATGCTAAAGGGGGGAGATGTGGACGTGTGGTATTGGAATTTGCATCTCGCTTGTGTGCTCGGGTGGCCGGCCGCGAGCTGGCGGCGCCTCGGCTCGCCGGGCGGCCGGCCTGCCCTGGGGCGGTGCGGGCCGCTCGGCGGGTCGGGCGGCGGGCGGCGCGGGGAGTCGGTTGCGGGGCTCGGTGGAAGGTGGACGGTGAATACAGGCGTGGAACGGCTACATGTTTTGACGGTGAATGAAGACGGCGAACGGCTACAACAGTGAAGAGCGAAAAGCCCGTGATCAAGCCGACCAGGCCGCCAAGATTTGCCAGGAGTGTCGGCAGGGTGAACGTTCCCGACTCTTCCATTTGGTCTGCCGCCAGGTCCACGCGCAGAGCCAGAAGTGTTTCGCACGTGCCCAATGCGCCGCTAGCGTATACATTTGGTCCAGTGACGTCTTCCTGCAGATAATAGGTGGCTTGTTGACAGGCCGGCTGGCAGTCACAGCCCTGGTGGTCAGACATCAGCTCAAACGGGACGTGATGCGTTGAGTTCGGAGGCGAATGGCATTTCTCGGAAAGAAAAGGAAGACGAAGCCGTGAGATTCGTCTGGTTTCGTTGCTGGTTTTCATTGATGCAAACCTTCTAGCACGGATTTTTTCGAACGGTGACATAATAAGCTCATTAGACACATTGACGTTTGGTAAGCTCCAGCCAAAGCTCTCCTTCAGACAAGCTTCATCAGTGACGTGACGACAGAACACCATTCGCCACCTTTCCCTTCCGACGAATTTCCTACACAGAGGCAGCTGGTCGACGGGTCCGCGAATCTCCGGCAGGTAGGCATCTGCCGCCACCATGTGTGGCAGCCGGCAGCCGATGTGCGCCGCCAGCCGCCGCCACAGACACTCCTTCAGACACTGGGTGAGCGAGTAGCCCGGCTCCGCGCGGCACGGACGGCGGCGCAGGTTGGCCAGCCTGCGGAGACGTGCTGACACCCGAAGACTGGCTCCCTCGCTCTTGCGGAGTTCCCTGGACGTGGTGGTCGGTACAGACACGCCCAGTTCGGACGGCGGCGTCAGGTCTCCGACGTTCGGTTCGTCGTCTCCGTGGACATAGAGCCGGTAGGAGATATCAGACCTGCCGGTGAACATGGGCGCTATGCGCAGCTGGAGAACCATACTGACGATGTTGGCACCCAGGCTGTGCAGATGTTCGCTGGGATGGAACGTGATGCACCTCATCGGGGCGACCTTCTTTGAGAGGGAATCAACAGGCAGGTAGAAGCGAGACTTCCAAACGCCGAGCGGTCCTTCGCTAGGGATGGTGCTCACAATGCTCTTGCCGTGCTTCAACATCAAGTTGTTGATGCTGTTATGGGACTTCAACATGTTCAGAGATGTCTGATTGTAGAACTCGATGATTGACAGGGAACCTTCGGCGAGTTCCTTCAGTTTGTCGCGCATCAGTGCGGTGTCTCTCAGCTCCCCGCCGGGACAGAGAGTCAGTCTGGGGAAGCGCGCCTGGCGTCTCACCACAGTCGAGCTGAGAGGCTCCGAGAGAAAATTCATCGCCTGCTCGAAAGTCAGAGTCACCAGTAGAGAGAGCAGACCCAGGCGAACTGTCCATTTTAAAACCAATGCGACGGTAATAGAGCCACTTCTTTGCCGGCTGACCGAATGTCTATTTTCTATTATATTTCTCCGAGGGAAGCATTGTGCTTCTGATAAGCGCCTTGAGGATGTGTGAATCAGCTCCTCTCTGTATGGAATTGTTTCCATCGTTGCAGAAGAAACTGACCTCGGCAAGTGAAGATGGTGCTGAGTCTCCTCCGTTTCCCTTTCTGTGGCACGATCGGCCACATTCAGAGTATGCATTCTCGACCACTAATACAGCCACTGAAGGTACCCTTGATCTTCCGCCATGAGCCTCAGCCCTGCGCTTCTTCCTCGTCGAGGAAGCGTCAACTTCTGATCGGTACGCCTACCTAAGTGCGACATAACTGCGACTTTACGCTCCGTATCCATCGCAACACAGTCAACAAACGCAGGTGGCTGCGGCCCACACGCTCACACACCAATTAATGGGAGGACACAACAGCGGGCGTCAAAGGTGCAGACGCTGAATGAGCATTAGCCGCCCATTACTAGCGTTCTAGTCTGTGTGTGCCTTTACAGAGCCTGGTCACGAACATCATTCATGGACTATGTATTCAGTAAAGATGCCTGCCGGGTCTATTACGCAGCTCTCAGGACCCGGTTCGGTCGACATAATTAAAGTCAAGAATGCATGCGCCAGCTATGTGCTATCTAACCAGGGTTTCCCACGTCTAAATTTGTAGCTGTGTTGAATGACAAGTATGCATGTCTTTATTGAATGGTATAAACGTTCACCCTCTCGCAAACGTTCCTTCCATTGCAAAACAGTTTGAACAATTGTAAAATGAAACATACGTGATTGTTTTAAATAAAGGTTACTTTGTTTTTCCCTGATTTTTGTGCCGTCTAAATTGATTTAATATGCTGTTTAAATGTCAGCACAACATATCGACACCTTTTTTTAAACCCCACATCTGCTCTCCCGTGAATTTCCGGGAGGCACGAAAGATCTCCTTTTAAAAGTGTCCAATCGTCCGATCCTGATCAAATATGTGTGTTCGTAGGCCTGTTCTGGTATTGCTTTATCTGCCAGGACAGACAAACTTGAGAAAAATCGAGTGATTGTACCTTTTTTGAAGGTCTCTAACCAACTTGTCTGAAATTCACCGGAGAACAAATGTGGGGTTTGAAAAAAGGTGTTGATATACCTAGTGCAAACTAACCCGATCGTCACGAGTTACCAAACCGGCAAACTTTATAAAATCTGATGGCCAATAGTTGCAAACCAAAATGATAATTAAAATCTAAATCCTTTGTATTTTGATATGTATTTTAGATATTTGTATTTTGGATGTTATTTTAAAATGTGATTTGTGACTTAAGGTATATTTTACTGACGATGGCACATTGTTGTCGAAACGTCTAAAATACAAAAAGATTTAGATTTTAATTATCATTTTGGTTCGCAACTATTGGCCATCAGATTTTATAAATACCTATGTCTAACAATACCGAACAAACCGGCAAACATTTCCCTTCTTAGATTTGTTTTACTACATTACTCAACACTTTACAGTTACATGCCTAAAACTTCAGTTATTTCTTTTCAGCTGTTTCACAGATACCCTTCCTACTTAATATTATTTGTTTGTTAGACGTTTATTGCGTAGAAAATCAATTCACGGAATTTTCATTCATCGCGCTACGCATCGGGGCTGAAGAATTTGGACGGCAGCAGGAGGTAGGGCAGGACGCCTGCCACCCGCGACACTCCCGCCCGCGTCGAGCTCGGTCCCAGGAACTGCAGACGCTTCTGCTTCTCCTCTCGCTCGTAGTCGATGGCGGCCAGTACGTCGTCATAGTTCTGCAGCGGCGTGCCCAGGATCCCGACTTTGGTCCGGTCCACCTTGAGCGACTCGTCTTCCTCCTCGCCTGCCGCCTCTGCAGGCAGTCGGTGCGACAGCGACTGGCGCAGCAGCGGCGAGGTGTTGCGCAGGAGGCCGTAGACGGCGCACTGCGGCGGCGGCGGACCTGTGTACAGGCCGTACACCTTCTTCATGGAGACGTGGGCGGTGGGAGGAGCGGAGCGGCCGGTAGCGGGTGGAGGTGTCGCCGAGCTCCCGGGCGGAGGAGACTGCTGCTCCGAGACGGCCGAGGAGGGTGTCTGGGCCGGCTGGGAGTCCGGGCTGGTAGGCTCTTCACCCCCACTCGGCTGAGCTGGTGGACTGGCCGAGTGGTCAGCGCTGGCGTTCGGACCACCCTCTGGGGTCTCCGTGTTACGTGTGCCGCCCGAGTTGCCACTGGACACTCTCGTTCCGTGACTCGCTGAGGACACATGCTGAGAGGTTTGACGAGAACCCGAGTGTGGCGCAGGAGAACCATGATGCTGACTGGGGCCCGACGCACCAGAGACGTGCCTTCGTCCGCTGTTCGCGCCGGTGCTCTTTCGGAGGGTCGTGTCGGACTGCCTCCGTCTGGAGGACCCGCTCATGGAGCCTCCCAGCGCTCCGCGTCTCTCACCACCTCCCAGCCGGCGATCGGATGTGGTGCGGGGACTTTGACGGTCACCGTGGTTCTCATTGCTGGGCGTCTCCCGGGCGCTTCCTGCGCTTTTGCCTGGGATGATTAGCGTTCTCGCTGAGGTCAGATGATCGAGAGGCGGTGGCACCGCTCGGCGGGACGGGTCAAACCCTGCTGTGCGGAACAGTCGGCCCAGCTCCCTCGCTATGACGGTGACGTTGGGACGCCGGTAGACGATCCAGACGCACTGCGCCACAAACGCGTTCAGCGCCTCGAAGATCTGTCGGTCGGAGGCGGCGGCGGATTTGTACCCGGCACCCTGCTGGAGATGGTGAAAGTCCAGCCCGCAGCCGAGCAGGTAGGTGCTGTAGATTTGACCGAGCTCGCTCACGCACACCTCCATCCTTCTTCGGCGCCCGTCCAGCTGACTCGAGTTGTAGAGCTGACATTCGAGCTGCGCCATGGTCTCCTCCAGCCTCCGAAGCTCGAAGTAGTGGTGGAAGTACTCGATCGCACAGCCGAGGACTTCGTCGATGTGCGGCCACTCGTCGAAGAAGTTCGGGTGTCGGTGCACGCGGGGAAAGAACTGGCCGACAGCTCGGGTGGCCACGCGTTTCACGTGCTCCAGAGTCACCACCCCGGGCCGCCGGGCCGGCCGGGCGCCCTCCGTTTTCTCCAGTATCTTCCGGTTGGGTCGGTAGTAGAGTCCAGCGCCGTCCCGGGGCACAGCCTTGGTGCCGGGGTTCGGGTACTGCCGGTAGCGCAGGCCGTAGACGCCGTACCGGTGGCATCTCCACATGTCGTCCAGCGGGATCAGGTAGAAGTCCTCCACGGGGTTGGTGGGGCGCGTGAACACGCTGAAGAGTACGTTGGAGCGTGCGTCCATCAGCCAGCGGCTGTGTGGCGGCAGCGGGCTCTGCAGCTCGGCGGGCAGCTCGGGGTCGTGCGGCGGCGCGACGGCGCGCAGCAGCGCCGGCCAGCTGCGCCGCCACCGCTCCCGGCCGCCCGCGCCCGCCTGGCGCGTCAGCTGCCGCAGCGTGCCCGACGCCGGCTTCTCGTCGTCGCTCTCCTTGATGGCTCGCACGGCGCGCGCGGCCACGTAGCGCTGGTACTCCTTCTCCCGGTTCTCCAGCAGCAGCTCGACGGCGTCATCGGGGCTGAAGTCTTCACGCAGGGTACCCGAGGGAATGCCCGTCGCTGGCAGCGAGTCCTTGCGCATGCTGCGGTGAGCTGGAGAACCAGCCTTTGAAGGCTGATTTGGAGGCATTTCGACTGAGTGATGCTGCTGACTCGTTTTAACACATTTTCCGTCTTTGTATTTAATGACAGACACTCATTTTGAAGCAGCGCTGAACTAACATAATCTGAATTTTAAGGATTTGGGATCCCCTCGAAGCACGTCATATCGCATTAAATAGCCAAGTTCACCGTCTTTTCCTGAATACTCTCTTGATGCTGTCGCAACAAGCAACTATAAGTTATCGCCATCTTACAATTTAAAGTTTTTCAAAGCTTGCTGGAGCTTGGAGACCTCTTCAATACCTTCCATTGGTTTCCTCATGCTTTTCTAACTGCGAATGATATTTTGAAGGAAGGCATCGCCCCCTCTGGCTTCTTTTCCATCGTTACATCACGATTTAGCTTTATCTTCTCTTGAGTTTTAAAGATTTATTTTTTGCTCTAAACGTGAAATAAAAAGCATTGCTCTAGTCACACGAATCATTGAATTTGCCTTCGTGACTGATTACAGCCTTCGCCCTACAAGCCCTAGGAAAGCTATTTTGGTTTTGGCGCCTACCAAAATTTCAAAAGGCCTGAAATTTTGATTGTTTTGATCGTTTTGATCAATGAAGCTTACCAGCTAGTACAACTCGTGACTTCTTTAACGTCTCTCCTTTCACATATCAACAGATGCGAGAAGTGTAACAAAATGATCGAATAGTTCTTCCGTGCAAGCATCCGTAGTTTATAGTTTGTTCATTATTGATCAATATCAGTTACAACCTATAGCCGTTGGAAATGATAGGCATTTCCCTCATTGCATCGCACTCATGAAGTTTTTCTCTGCAAAATGCATGGTCAACGTTCAAAGTGGTGTCAAGTAATGCAAAAAGCGATATGTTGTGCGGTTTATTGCTCAATCAAAAACAACAAATATTCAGCATAAATCTGATGACCATAACTGTTCGATAGTATAATCTGACAGTCTCTGTTCTTATTTCTACCCCGAGAAATACGCCCACCGCCTATCATTAGCACGATCGTTTTGCCAGCATCTCTCGCAGTCGGGCAGTCGGTCCGGCGTGTAGCCCTTCTCAAAACAGTAGTCCAGGCTCATCCAGCAGCAGCCTGTCGCTAGCGGTCCCACGCAGGGGATCATACACGGCTCGCACTGGTTGGAGGCGATCACTGACTGAACGCCCCCGCTCGGATATGGGGCTGGGGAGGCGGGTTTAGGAGTCGGGGGCTGAGTGGGTTTTGGTGTAGGGGGAGGCGTGGTCTTTGGTACAGACGCCTGCGGAATCAACCATGTGTTGTCTAGAGACTGGTCCGAGGCTGGTTTGGTCGTTGTGACAGCCACAGGCTCGGGTCTCCGGGTAGGTGGTGTGGTTTTGGGTGGCGGTGGGGTAGTTACCACTTCTATGTCCTGGAAGCCCAGGGAGGGGGACGTCTCCTGGGAGGTCGCTCCCGTTGGAGGGGTAGGCGACGGTGGCAGTGGAGAGGGAGAGGGAGAGGGAGAGGGAGAGGGAGAGGGAGAGGGAGAGGGAGAAGGTGATGGCGAAGGCGGGGGAGAGGGAGAAGGCGTTATATTCGTGCGGATCTCCTGGTCCAGCGCGGAGCCGATGGCGTCCGCTCCCCGCACCGCCTGTCAAAACGTCAGAACGTCAGTGCACTGCCCACGTACAGACCTGTCCGTGGGGGGGGGGGGGGATAGGGGAACATTGCTCGTATTGATCGCTGTTCCGATAGATAGACCTGAAGGCTGATAAGTATGTTGATTAAGAGCTGGCTGATCTATGAAGGACTATCCAAATGCGAGACAGATTTATCGCAACAATGAGTTTGATGTCGGATGATTCATTTATCGTCACAGCGTGTTTTATGTTGATTGTCGGATGATTGGTACCTCTATAGTTGGCTTATCAATTTGGAAAAAAATGCGAAAAGCGAGACAATGATGAGATATGCATAATGCTGCTTTTTCTGCATAACTGAATCATAAATCAATATGATACAGATATCTAGCACCATTTATGAACATTTTTTACTTTTAACTGAAACAGCCATTTGCACAACAATTACACCTAATGCATACACAACGAAATAGTTGAATGATACAGATCAGCCGATAAAATGTAAGAACGTAAAGGTAGAATTGTTGAATTGAATAAGAGAACTAAGAAAAGAAAATTATGGTCATTTAACTAAGAAAAGCAAGAGTACGGTCATTTCTATCATACTTTACCATCTTTCTATCGTGTGATATGCCTAGACCGCCACCATCCATCCCGCTCACCGTTGTGGTTCCGTTGGACCAGGGCTCGGAGCCGTTGACGCTGCGCGACACGGCCACGTTCTCCCTGCTGACGGTACCGCCATCCCCTGCCGTCACGGTGGCCGAGTTCACCAAGCTGCGCGTGCTCTCCGTGCCGGTCCGGTCGTCCGTGCCCGTGAGCGTCACATTCTCATCACGGTCCGTGCGCAGCTGGCTGACCTGGAGCGCGGTGCCGCCGTCCGGCTCGCTGACGCTCAGGCGGTTCTCGCGGGTGCGCTGCGCCGACTGTATCCGCGACGTGCCGCTGGGCCCGGTGCGGTTGTCGTCTTTGAGCTGGGTGTCGGTGCGGCCGAGGTAGGCGAACCCGCCGTCGGTGGTGGACGAGGCGGCGCGCTGCTGCTCCTGGCCATTGCTGACCGAGGCCGTCGACCGGCTGGTGTTGGTCGTGTTGTGGAACGCGCCCGAGGTGATCTGGCGGGTCTCCGAGCTCTGCGAGGTGCTGGTCTGGGAGCGCGTCACGTCCCGACTGGTGGTTCTGCTCACCACCTCACCCTGCAGTGGAGGAGGGAGCGGTGAGCGAGGTGAGAACATCGCAAAGTAGCGCACGTTTTCATCCTGGATACAAACATCAGCTTGTCTTCGAAACTTTAGCCACAGGTAACTGATCAAATCAGACACAGGTAGGTACGCAAATGAGACGTCGACCCCGGAAGTCAGAACCACGCAACAGCCGATACTCAAAAATCGCAGTAAACCCGCCCTTTGAATTACGATCAGAGCTTTTTACAGCTCTTAAACCACACCAGACCGCTAACCCTGAAGACCCAGAGCTCACCTGCCCGAGTGTGGCCGGCAGGCCGGTTGCTACGAGCACCACCAGGAGCGGCAGGAGGGGCGCCATCGGAGGGTGTCGCCGCGGCGCCGGCAGCCGGAGCGCACCGCTCACTGCGGCCCGTCGTGACGGAGCGCGGCGGACCTGTCAGCGACCTCCGGCTCAGGCCGTGACAGCAGCCCCCCGCCCTGCCCGCTGGCCACCCACGCCGTCCCTGCTGCTGACCGCGACCCCGCGCCTCTGACAGTCGCCCACCCCGCCGCCGCTCGGCCGACCGACCTCTGAGCTGCTGACCTTTACGGCAGAGCCCACGTGGGACGGAGCGCGGATCGTGCAGCGCGGCGCACACGGACGTCGGAAACGGCGATCCGGGTCGGCCGGTGGCAGGGTTCAGAGAAAGGAAGCGAACTGCGAACATCGCGGCTTGGTTTTGGTGTCGGGTACAAACTTGGGGCAAACAAGCCAGGGGTGAAGTTTATCAGTTGTCACTTTTCATGACGGGAAAATAAAGGGAGAATAACAGAAACGTAATATGCACTTAGGCTACATGCTATTAACTTTATCATAGCACTTTTTTTGCACGTTAAACCAGGAGTCGACAGCTTTGCCCGGAGTCGGAGTCGGAGTTGGAGTCACTGAAAGTTAACATTGCATAGCTCAAAATCATGCCCTACGCCTGTTTGCTTGACGATATTTCGCTCGTTCTGCGTTCACCTTTCAAAATCGGATTTTGTTGAAGCGGAAGACATACCCCTGTTTTGGACGAGCGTTTTCGTCGAAAAAAGCTGAAGAGGGCTGCTGCGTCAAAACCTGTTTTGCATGCTATTTAAAAAGTGTTTACTTGCAATGCAAGACCTTGGAACGTTCAAAGGATCGCTCCTGGCAAGATAAAAAGATCTCCAACATTTAGTTAGTTTCATTATATGAACTTCAGAGCTATGTCCACAGTCTGGTCTCGAGTCGGCGTCGGAGTCTGAGTCGATTTTTGAAGTCAGAGTCGAAGTCGGAGTCGGAGTCACCTTAATTAATCCATTGACCTTGCAGCCCCACGTTAAACCCATTTGGCCAGAGGAAGATTTAAGTACACGTTCTTTAAAAAGAAAATATTTTTTCTTCATTTGGAATGAACCATGATGACAGCCAAGGTGAAAATGAGCGCCGTTGACCTTTAACGATGTTCCCGCCCACATAGATATGCTCGTTCCTGACACGCAGCCACTGGCGCCGAACAGATTTGCCGTCGGCATTTTCAATCGACGGGTCTGGCCGGTCTGTCAAAGCAGTACTGCTTCTTACGTAAACGGCTTCATGTTGAGCGGGATCTAACGGAGACGCCGTTTTTCTGACTGTTCAATGTTCATATAGCTAATTGCAATGCTAAGCTAATACGCTAATGTTTTAGTTTAAAAGACACAACTTGTTTGATTTTGATTTGCTCGTTTTTCTACGGTAGGTAAGTCGGTAACGAGGAGCATGTGAATAACACATTCATGTAGACACCATATAATGAACTTAAACCAACCATTTAGCTGTATACTTAAGCATATTGTTATTTGTTTGCATGTAGAATGTAGAGTTAGAAGTATGAAATAATGCTTAGTGTAAGCAGTTTCCGTTCAGGTTTCAACGATGACCTCAACACATCGCTTCAATTTGCTTTCGAGCTACAACAGGGAAAGCTCTGCGTGAGGGCCGCGACCGCATCATTTTCAACCTTTGACTTTCAACCTTCAACCTATAAGGTCTTATAAAGGCTTATAAGCAGAGTTGGCCTGCGCTACGCTACGTTATGCACTACGTTACGCTACGTTTGCTTTTTTGGCCAAAACTACGATACCGAACGAATTACGATACGTTATATATTGCTACGTTACTGAATTACGGTATTTGTTAATTAACGCAGCAAATTATTTTATCGTACTACGTTATGCAATATGTCATCATCCACTACCCAGTGGAAACGGTTAGTCTCTAGTAAGCCAAATACTGCGCACAATGATCGCCGGCTTTGCAGCATCGTCGGTGCGGCGGTGCCTACGCGCTACTCGCTAGATGCGCTGGACTTCCGACAGGGAATTCCATGGGACTCCCCAGTGGGAAATCTCTGGTGTCGGTCCGGCCGTAAGAAAGACTCAGTGGTATTCATATAGCAGGCGTCTCACATCCGTTTAAACGGCCGGAGGTCTGGTGACGATATGAGTAAACTGAAAAAAATTATGTACCTTATGCTTATGCAAATACAGCTGACATGTAATTGCTACGGAATCCATTTCGTAGTTCCTCCTACGTTATTCTATTATTTTCCGTAATACGCTACCGAAACATCCCAATTACGCTACGAAACGGTACTGACAGCTACGGGTTACCGAAAACTTCAAAATAACGTAACGTAGGCCAACTCTGCTTATAAGTCCCATTACTACATATTTCCCAAGTGTCATTCTTAGTGGCATTCATTGGAAAGAAATGGCTGCATATCACAAAATAATCACTTTCCTATAAGTATGCTGCAAGTGCACAATGTACAGACAGACATCTCAATACTGACCCTCGTGTGAAAATTCGCATCGGTGAGAAAACATGGTGAATGACGCTAATGCAGCTACCCGTCTACATAACGACCATGTGCGCACCACGCACCACCAGCTTCGGAAGCACGTGTTATAGACGTGCCATTATAGTCACATAAACTGGTGCGGCAGGGGATACAAGTCATGTGGCTGACGAACTGTGTGCATTTTACTGATGCCGCGCCGTAACTCGTAAATTAAAGAGTTTACGTGTAAGCTATGATGGTTCCCAAACGTCAATTGACCGAGTGAGAAGAGTGTCACGGCGACTGTTTTTTATTTGCTTTATTGATTATCCAGGAGTATAATTCAGGATACATTCTCCTGAAATATGAATGCAGGCGTACACATACACATGTCGCATGTAATCTGAGGCTATATGGGGGCGCCGTTTATTTTCTCTCCTACGTCAGGTCAGGTTGCCAGCCTTTCTGTTCAGTTTCTTTTTTTTTGTCCTCTTTGTGGCCGGAATGTCCAACTGTTTACAAGCCACCGGATTGTAGAGAAACTGCGGACTTTTCCAATGTAACCGCATTGTTGACAACGCATTTAATCCTCAGCAGACCCCCCAATCTAAGTTTTCTATATCTGCTCGAACGCGGGACATTGGTAAAGCTGCAACATGGCTACACCATAAGGTACCCTCTCCTTCCTATGGAGCTAAAACGTAACACTGGAGAGGAATGTGCTATGATGAGAAGCAGGAAATTATGGCACTTTTTGAGATGCTATGTGAGTCAATGAAGCCAGTCAAGTGAGCACTTCTTAATTCAGCGTCAGTCTCACTCTAGCAGACAACATTTCGATCTTTAGACCTGCTAAAATGGAAAACGACGAGAGACGAGTAAAGACCAGACCTCAGTGACTCTTCCCAAGTGACACACCAGCCACCATCGCAGACATTTTGTTCAGCGCCTTCCCGAAATAACCTTATAAAACATTAACTCAAACAGTAAAAAAAAAAAAACACACAGTCGGGTTGAAAAGGTCCTTTAACCTTGTAAAGTGGCTGCTCTCGGTTCGGACAGCACCATGAATGTCAGGAGGCCCTGCGGGGCAGCGACGGTCACTGACATTCATTGCGACACATCTCGCTGTCAATCCAGAGTTAGACACGCAGCCAAAAAGTCGAGTTCGGGTGACGGCCAGTGCCGTGGTACCACTCTGTTGGCCAGAGGCGCGGTCAGCGGACCGGCCGACCACCGCCGACCATCAGTGGACCATCAGCGCGGACCATCAGCGGACCATCACAGGCCGTTCCTGGTGTGACCACTGCCGAGAGCGGTCTGACCGACTCCGCCGATCCCAACGATGGTGGGCAGGATGGCCTGCTGGGCTGTGCTGGTGACTCAGGCGCTGTTGCTGAGCCCGGTGGCGACCTTAGGGGACGTGACGTCATCCAAAGTAAGCGGGGGTGGTCGAGTTTGGCATCGACAACAGGGAACAGGGTCAGGGTCGTGCGATTTTTACGTGGGCGTCGATGGTTTGATGCGGCACTACATGCTGGACCCTCTTAATTTGTGATATCGTAGGTATTCAGTAATCGTTATACAATTTGGAAAAATTAAAATCACATTAGAAGTCGATACCTAATTGCAAATATATTCAATGTTCAGTAAAGGCTCTTTTTGCCGCATTTCTACTTCAGGCATAACGTGTTTTGTCTTTCTTCCAGGCTCCTAAGGTAACCGTGCCGGATCAGAAATCCGACAAGGCCATCGATGTGAACAAGACCAGTCCGACGTCTTCATTGGATGGAGGGATAATCATTATGACAATCCCAGGCGGCATTGTACACAAGCAAGGTCCGCCTCCCGCTCACCAGCCGGTCAAAAAGAAACATTGTCAAAAACCATGCATCGGAAAATTATACCATGCGTATCAAACACACGCTGCTGCAGCTCCAATCGACTCTTCTGTATCTCAAAATAAAACTGCCGGTGTTTCCGCCAGGGCTGCCCCAGCTCCTAGCAAGCCCTCGGCAGCTCCAAGAAGGGGTGCCCTCTTCCTGCCGTCCCGAGCTCGTATCGCAGTGGCAGTGCGATTCGTTCGCACTCCCTGTAAACTCGTCAAGAAGCGCAACTGCTGCCTGATCGAAACCCTCGGCAGTTACTCGTGCTCTTGTCTCAAGGTGGATAAGAAGTGTTTCGAAATTAAGAGGGTGAGGGTGCTTGTGCCGTTCGAGACCATCTACCCGCCGTGTCCGAAATGCTACGATCTGTGCGATCACAACCGACGAATCTGCTGCCGACTGTGGCCCTGCAAATGACCGATCCAAACACCGACCTGTGTTATTACTGGAAATACAAAGTCCAATAAAGTGGCTTGTCTAATGACTATGTGGAGCAATTAACCATTAATCACGATATTAACCCTTCTACCTTATCGATCAAAGGAAGTTTCACGAGAAGCCCGCCGATCGCTACCATCCGGCAGACACTAGCAGAGAAGTGCACCTATTGGATGTCACTTCTATGGGTATGTTCACGGCCCTGGCACGCTGTAAATTCTACGCCGACATGCCCCCTTTGACGAGTTTGCCTTTCTACGAAACATGAAAATTATCAGCAAGCACAATGCCTCCAGAATACATGGGAAAATAATATCAAAGCGATATTACATCTTCGCAAGCTGTCAAAGGCATTTCAATCATTTTAAACTAGAATTTAGAAATGAAGCCAGA